GCTTTGTTATTATGGATTTAGTTTTTACGATTTGAAGCTACACCAGCACTCACTTATAAGTAAAGAAGATTGAAATTTGAGCAAAGTCTGTAATGGCGACTGCTGAAATATAAACATCACATTTACAATCAATTACTTACGATTTGAGCCTCAGATTATTAGCCAGCGACATCCAGATAGTTAGGTACAAAATTCGCGCTCGCAAATCGCTAGAGTTAATTTTGACACAAGTGTGTTTCACACCCTGGTCGGATATGTTGATCTTACATAGTTTGTAGTTGAGATATTTAAAGATTTAGGGTACTCCTGAAATATGCGCACCGACATGTCGCACAACCTTAACCCTTACTTGGTACACAACCTGAGTTCAGGTGGTGCGCCATCTTGGTGCGTGTACCTCAGGAGTACCCTAAATTTTTAAATATCTCAACTACAAACTATGTAAGATCAACATATCCGACCAGGGTGTTTATAAAATTTAGTTTATAAAAAAGCAAGAAATTAAAAAGACATGAAGATGATTTAGAATTTAGTAGAATGGACTGGTCACCACTTGGGCTATTAAACATATAATATTCATATATAAGTTTAATGAAAATATATAAAAGACGAAAGTCAAGTGGTATAAATTATCCGCAAAACGCCTGTTTTTGAAGGTCCATACTTCAATCATGAGAAAAAGTCAATATTTGCCCAAATCGACAAGACAAGACAAAACGTCGACTGTTTTCAGTGTTCCGAGAGATTCTATATGAAGCCATTGCTATTTATCGACTAATTTGAATGAAATAAAAAATTAAGGTATGAATTGGAGTCGGAAGCGAAAAATAATTGATGTTTCTTTTCTTGCTACAAAAGCGAAAAGGAAATCATAAGATCCTTGTCGAAGCAACGCAATATTAAAATGATTTAGGTTCCGTATATTATTTGCCAGACATTGCATTTTCTCTTATAGTTTTTCATTTCATTTTGATCAGTCAGACTTTACATGTCCATTCGCTTCGATACTTATACATAAGTCCGTCTTATCCTCTGTCTAATGGTATTGACCTTTTCGTCATCTCGCCTTTGTTTGTCAGAGGTAATTTTGAATGAAAAACATAATTATATAGCCTTGTTGTACCGGTAGAGAATAAAAGTTTTCAATCTTCGTTATTGATTTTTAATTCTGTGAACCGGGGCGGAATACGAACGCGTCTGAACATTGTCTTTCGTGAGTTATAAACCAGACTTTTGGTTTTTATTGAATTTGTGTTTTAGGTGAATGCAAATGTAGATATAATATTAATGTACGGGTATCCACTTTGACGTATGCTTGATAGATTTAAAATTAGTATACGGGTATATAAAGAGAAATAAGGATTACTTGTGCATGAATATACTCAGGGATTTGTATCCATATTTTGCGAGAAAAGTGTAATGAAAGTTAGTTGGTGCTCTAACGAAGTCAAAAACGGTTGCAAGTAAATTCTGGATAAAATTAGCCACATGAATTACAAAATATAATGTAAGACATAATAATCTATATATTCAAGTCTTCTCGATTGAAACATTAGTTCACCAAATTTTTCGTATACATATATATATATATATAAAATAGCATAATATTTTCTATATGATATCATTTCACGCAGAACAGAAATAAGTTTTTTTTATCACTAGAATATGACCAAAAACGCTGCACGAAATGAGTTGCTTTTTCAACCTTATGGCGATACAGAAGTTTGGGTATATCAAAATCACCAGCTATTATGCTTACTGTAGCGAAAACGAGAAGGAATTTGGGCATTAATTGTCGAAGTGATATCAAATCTTGCAAATCTTTTATTCTTACGTAATATAGTTGTTCGGATGGAAAGCTAGTGTTTACGGGTTCGCATCCTCACTAAATCGAATTAGGAATATCGTCGAGAACTGCGGTAAAACGAATATCTTAATGTACATTACAACGAATATATTGCTATAAAGAACTATTATAAACATTAAGATGGGTTCATTTTTCGATTTCAGTTTTTTCCGTTGTAGTTCCAAAGTTGTTGTACCTAAAAATGTGACTCGTTCTAACAATGTCATCCAGGGGTCACCGGCAATATCATTCGATGGGACCACAATAAATCTTTAATGACATACGTACATACGAATATAACTGGATTTAGTGATAGGGCTGCTTGACAATTTAATTTTTTTGTTTAGATTATTCGAAAAAGGGCGCTCCAAAAGTGTGTGTACCAATATGGAAGTAACTAATTTTGTTCGCCTACTTTACATCAAGTTGTGTAATGGGACAGAAATCTATGGACCGGGGGTATATTTACTTGGCTAACACAAACAGTTTCCGAACTCGTAATAGAACTAAAATAAGGAAAATCGGCCTAAAATTATGGCCTAACCCTAGCCTGGTACACATTCTACGGGAGTACCCAATCCGTTTAAATGTTAGATGTTCAATTGACTCACGTATTCTAGCATTTTCACCAGTTCAAAAATACTTTAAAATCATCTTCAATTATAGTTTATCCCTCTTAGAATCCCAGTTAGACATTGACAGTAAATTATTAATGTTGTACGTTACCGCATGAGAAAAATCGATTAAAATGATTTTGTCGCGAATTACGCCGCATTAAATATATCAGACGCGACACAAAAATATGGTGAATAAAGAGGGATTTTGGTTTCGAGTAACAGCAATGTAGGTGTCGCGTAAATGTTTTCTTTGTACTTAATCTGAGACAAATGTATTGAATGAAGTAAAAATACTTTGCTGATTAAAAAACAACAAACCTGGTTAAGATGAATTGAGAACTGATTTTCATAACAAATTTGAATTGTAAAAGGACATTATGGACACATTGTATCTCCTTTATTATTCCCATGAACTAAGTTTTCTGTGCCCGACAATTTACGCGAGGTAATGGGGTTTATACATTGCCTGTTCATAATAATCCTGCGTGGGCCGGTTGACACACGCTGAGTCTGCAAATTGTGTATGCGAAATTGCTTGCTAATCCTTTCATCTTACGTTCGTACAATCGCCGGAAACGTGCAGGAGTTTGTCCATAGGATTACTTAGAAGCTTAAGCCAAGAGCAGCCAGAAGAACGAAATAGGCTTTTATAAGACTTCGATTAAATAGTATGTATTTGTTAACTGTAATGGCCTAAGTACACGAATCGTTAAAAAAAGTTTCATCGTAGATTCACATTTCTCAAGTTAGAAGGGTTATGTGTTTCTGCTTGAGCTCCTAATTCAAGTTAATAAAAATTTTAAATGAATATTTTCTTATCATTATGTATTATGTGAAGCAAACTAATATACACAAAGAAAGGGAAATTGCGAGTACGGTCTAAATATATATCGACTATATGTATCGAAATTCCAACGAACTAAATTGCCTTTAGCGCCTACGAGATTTGTGTATAGTTGCCCTACGGTGACTATATTACGCTGTTTCCAATTTCGACACTTAAAATTTGTATATATTTCAAGCGTTTTCATATAGTTCCCGGTGAAATAAACAATATGGGATCGCCATCGGGTTTTGTAGATAATATTTTCACGGAACACATAAGAATACTGTGTATGTCAGTGTGCAGTCATTTCCTGCGGATGTGCGGCTGCTGGTCATCTGTGGAGAAAAGCCAGTGGAGACAGTTAGTCACAATCCCAAAGGGATTGTCGTTCGAGTTTTAAACCGATTTTAAACAGCGATTTTCATTTCCATGTTACGTGTAATTGGATTTCTAACAGAGCCCCGCTAGTTTTGGATCGATTTTTGGTCTTAATTTCAATGCGTCTTAACGTGTGAATTTGGTGACTGTTTTGACATATGCTTGTTGGAGTGACTTCACCACAAAATTCGTTTTTGGATGTACCATGGGATGGCATGTAACATGTGTAATAAAAGCATTATCAACCTCTTGCACTTGGTCCGTCTATTTATCCACAATCTCCTTCTTAGCCTCTTAAATAATTCAGAATGCGGGGTCGGACGCAGATCCGCATTGCGTGAAACTCGACCTATAATCCTTCTCCACGCTTATTTTGTTTTGGAGAATGTAAAAATAATCATGAATCCCTCGATCTTTAAGACCGATCTCATGAAGAAAGATTGATGGGTAGAATTCGAATTTCAATCTTCTTGCTCTATGTCGCTTTGCGAAAATAAGTACACGCGGCAAAAATGCCGTGCGTAATATTTTTAACAATAATAAATTTCTACAACTTGGCATCACTGTTAGAATATTTTTTAAGTATAAATTGCTGACGTGTCACATTTCAACCACTGTCTACTTATCGTAATGAACGATTACTGTTTTTGTTGGGTATTAAACTTCTCATAATTGAAAGTAAGAAGTATCAGGAAATGTTGAGAAATCAAAATATACTTATACGTATACCTGAATGCGCATTTTAGACAGATATAATGCGTTTTGCTTATGTTTGCTATATGATAATCGCAACATCGCAACATTTTTATATTAAAAAAATAGTCTTATCTTCAAATAGTCTTGCCTGACTAACACTGTATATTGTTTTCGTCGCGGTGTCTTAATTTTTGCAATTGAAACGTCTACGAAATTTTTTATCAAACAAGACTAATGGCGTCGTATTCAAACGCACACACGATTGCATTAGTTTTCTATCAAAATCGAATAATAAAATTTTCGCAACCATTTAATAAATTTAATTTTCAATTTAATACAATTTGAGGAAATTGTTGCTTTTCTACGTCTCGTCGCGGCCTAATGTATCAGGTGATCCAGTTTCATAGGCAGTCTGATAGTATTAATAAAATATAAGATATATATAAATCATGAATATCATTTCGTTTTCTATGTCGGAACTTTATTTTCCTTTGGACATTGGTTAGTGAAGTAGTTCTTCCATACTTGAGTATTTGGAAGTACGATAAGCTTCCGAACGCAGCAGGTTACTTTGATCCTTTCTGTGGAATACGAACTTACTATTGTACAGTTTTTCCATAAATACTTGTTTCATATTTTCAGGCGATAATTTAGAGTAAAACTATATTTTAATATTTATTACGGGAAATATAGTTTTATTGATAATGGCTTCCTCCGAGACAAACTCAACAGCAGCCAGTGGTGAGTAAACTAGTGTATTGTGTTGAATTGAACGTTTCGACAAACATTAATTACTTCTATGCACATCTCGTCCTTTGACAAAAAATATTAAGTTCCAATATTTAAATTTTTGAATATGAATATTTTAACTTTGAAACACGATCGACATTATGGGTTATCTTAAGGGCTGGTGTATTTGAAACGCGATTTCTGCTTTTTCTAAAAAAAAGAATTTTTACGGCAGCAATTATACAATAGGCTCTTTGTTATATTCAATGGTTTTCTTTATATTTAAAAAAAAAAAACTTTTATGTTTCAGATGACATTCTTGACTCCAACTACGACTTTTTAATCAAATTTATGTTGTTGGGAGATTCCGGTGTTGGTAAGACATGTTTTCTACACAGGTATATGGAAGGAGAGTTCAGAAGTAGATTCACAGCTACTGTGGGCGTTGACTTCAGGCTAAAGAAATTGGTGAGTAAGCCCATGCAACAATATGGGAGTAAAACCTAGACATTGAACAATTTTAAAACATCACAATATGCGTGTGATTTAAACGTTAATTATGATAGTAAAAGTAGCCGGTTGCTTGTGGGCAGTAGACACGGCGGATGAGCTAAGAGTTAGGAATATGCCATAGCACCTGTTATGCGTGGGTTCTCAGGTTTGAATCCTGTTATTTATATTTATGTGCGAGAAGATCGCTGGATTTCACGTCGCCGTAGGGTGTTTTACGTCGGTTTGGCGAAATTTCTAAGCATATTAGAAAATTGATATTGTTTATGTTGATTGTTTGAGGGTTGAGTTGAGTAGGCGTTTATTCTCTAAAATGATAGGCAGTTTCATGATTTTTAGTTTTTTAGCACTGGTTAACAGTAAATAAATTATGCCTATTAAATTAATAATTTGACAATATTTTTTGCTTTCTGATACTTTTTACTCTAAAAATTATTTTTAAGGAATATGATTTCCCAGAAGACGACGGTGAAGAAGTCAAAAAGAAGATACATTTACAAATTTGGGATACTGCTGGACAGGAAAGGTACTGAGATGTCTAAGACATATTTATATATAAGTCAAACCTTGCGGAAGTGTATATTTTATAGTTACTACCTTGACCTGCTCAAGCGAAAGAGAGGCATAGAAATTATGACTCGTACGTAGGGCTGGGCATTTTAAATCGAATAGTAAATTATTCGAATCGGTTCCGACGGGAATTTCGAATCGCAGCCATCTTTTTTTTTAGTCCGTCCGCAGGTTGAGTAATCCCTCATTTTTTTTTATTCATGTCAAATTTTTAATATGCAATTCCGACATATGACACTTTTCGGACCTTCTGAAGTATGCGCACCAAGATGACGCACAACCTGAATTCAGATTTCGTACCAGGTTAGGGTTCAGGTTATGCGACATCTTGGTGCGCATACTTCAGGAGTACCCACTTTTCTTCCGAGTGAGTTATTGAAGAAACATGTTACCCACTGTGTGTGAACACTCAGCAAACTGTCTGAGTGATAGATTATGTGTTTCCACTAATTTATGCGTTAGAAGGACCCATACAATAAAACAGTTTATACAAATACATATGTTGCAAGTATCGAGATTCGATTTTATAAAAAAAATATTCGATTCTATTCATCATATGCCTAGCCCTACTCGTGCGTGCACAGCATGGGTAGGATTGAAGCGTCAATATATATACTATAAAAAAAGTGAGGCGGCCTGCATGTCGTCCATGAATATCCACTGGAATTAATCCACACTGTTGGTGATAATTTTGCCTGAAGAATATTAATTTCAAAGCATTATATTACAGAAATAATATTATGAAAACGCGTGCTTGTGTTGATAAACATTCCCTATTATAAAATACATCATTTTGATGTCAGAATTTTCCATCTTAAACCTAATTTTAAAGCTCCTAAAACTTGGTTTGGCCAGATCTTTACGAAAAGATGCTTGCAAAAACTATAAAATATATTGCATAGTTCGTGTATTTTAAAAGATAGTCCCGGTTGTTCTACTTTTTGATGACATTGTTGTGCTTATGCGTAGGTGCGTTTGCATAACGGCACCAGCTTCCCACATCTTGCGTGCGTTACATGAAACGTGCAATTGCATATGTTTAATTCGGTGAAACGATTTGTTGCCCTACTCGGCATATTACTGTATGTTACTTTAGCGTGGTAGGATAAATTCTGCGAAGTTCTATATATTTAATGAAGACGCATTACATCCGTCTATTGTGATATACACAGCCTGACTCATCGCATGAATGCCGGTAGGCTACTTGCTGCACATTGTGTAATTGAGAAGCTGGAAACTCGCTTTTATCAATCGACAAGCCTTACCCTGACTGCCTTTCTTGACATGCAAATTAAGCTTCTGGAAGTGGCGTTTTATACACAACCAAAGTATGTTCTGTTAAAATTGTTGTGTTGTCCTTGTACATTACTGCATTGTATTCTGGACAATTATGCTTTCGCTGAGGTACACGAGTGGTGTATGCAAAAATGTCACGAACGAAATTATTGGGTATTTTTGCATGATATTTTACACTTTAATATATTTGGTCTATCTTGAGGTTGTCCACCACTACTTTTCTAATCAGTTGTCGGTAATTGTGTTTGTCTTGGGTTAGGACGAGTTGGGTTACCATAATGCCACATTTTTCTGTATATCATTTACTTAAAAAATACCACCAAATTATCCTAATCTAGTCTAAGAACACAGATTATATATCAGTCTGTCTATTCTTCATATGGTGGACCTGCAGATGGTAGAAATTTGAAATAGTCCAAGTAGTAATAGTTATGTATAACACTATTCTTCCTCATTCCAGGTACCGAAGTTTAACAAAAGCATTCTTCAGAGATGGAATGGGATTTCTCCTTTTATTTGATGTTGGAAATGTAGAAACTTTTCATTCAGTCAGAGACTGGCTCAGTAAGTTTCTTTATGCAAATTCAAACCTGGTTGAAATTTTACAGTCATATCGAAAAAAAAAATCAAGATCCATCTCAAAGGATTCAAACCATGGGTGTGCGACCTGCGGCCCTCAAGAAAAATTTATGCGGCACGCGGGAAAATGCCAATTTTGAATGATGCGCGACCGCGAAACGAGTTTTCAATTTGAATAAATACGTGCGAATAATTTTAATCTCATTGAGTTGCGAAGCCTATATACCTGAGTCCAATTTGCTTACGTTTATGACTTTACAATGCCCCAACAGATAGCTTGTGCGAAAAACGCGTGTCATAAGACCAATACCCAACATTTTTGTGCCTGCAAACACTAGATAGCCTATGTTAAATAAAGGTGCGGCCCACGGTTAAACCCAGTTATTTCTATCTGACCCTCCTATATTTGCCCACCCCTAATTTAAACAGTAAACACTCGATCATACATAACTGTTATGTATAAAAGGTGTACAATAATTTTGAAACTTAATTAATGCCCAGATATTACACGAATGGTCTGGTGTTTATTGCACATGTTTGGAAACAAAATTTCAAACCGTGAGAATTCTCAAATTGTTTATGGACATCAAAAAGCTTCTACTCCCTAAAATTTATTTTCGTCGTTGAGTGCAACAATAGTAACATGTTTTGAATATCACATGACAAAATGCTTTATAACCAGCAAGACCGTACATTTTGAAATGGTTAAAGGACAGTTGATAGTTACACACTGTAGCGCCTATTAAATCAATTCACTTTTTACATTAATGTTATGCATGCTCAGGCTATCCAAGGTGATATCCGGTTCAAATAGCTTGGTATAAAAGCAAAAACATCGAGTTCATTTCCTTAATGATTTGAAATAATCAAACCATTTCATTATATTATCCTTGTATCGCAATACCGGCCGTATATGCACATTAGTAAGTTTGACAATATTCATACGTTTATACCCCTGCATTAAATAGATATACAGGGTGTCTATAAAGTTCATTTACAACTTCAATTTTGTTATGAGGTCAGTTCTCAAAATATCTTAACCAGGTTTGCTGTTTTTTAATCAGTAATTTTGTAATTATTTTTACTTTATTTAATACATCTGTGAGGGCCGAAACAATATATGGAATCGATAAATTGCCTTTGCAATTTAAAAAAAAAATTAAGATTTTATTGACACCCTATATGCACTAAACTTACAGATATAGGCTGACACGAACCTCCAAAAAGACTCCATGTGTAAGGACATTGCACATATGGAAATTTATTATGAAAAATGCTTAGAATTCCGCGGATAAGCCAGAGCCTCTAACGACAATGAATAATATTATCTAAAAAGTAATATATCCTAAGCCACGAATTAGACTTAAAAATATCAATGTATAAAGGAATTAACAACCCATCCTAGTAAGCTCTGTAAGACCTATTGCACTCGCACACATGAGAGATGGACTGCATCGACCTATAAAAAGTAAACGCGCCCTTTATACATTTGGATTGAATGATCGAATTTGCCAACTGTGCACGTTTGATCATTGGAATAGAATATTCTATGCGATGTGGTATAGTTCATGAAATATGCAAAACAAAATAAACAATGTTTGCGACGTTTTTGAATTCCGCAGCAAAATTGAAACAGCGAACAGGTTTAACCCCAACAAGACCGACCTAGTCACTTTTAAGATAAATCAGACACCAGATGAACAAGATTACAATTCTAAATATATGGACACGAAAGCCTAAAGGAAGTACTAGCAAATCTTTTAATGTGGTAGTAGGTTGTCTTTCTCATCGAAAAACTCCCGACTTCGTTTACCGCCACATAACTGAAACGAGATCGCCGAACCGCCACACGGTGCGCAATTCGTGTTCAATAAACTGGAAATTAGTAACACGGCCATATAACTCTGTTTTAAACAATGAATGGACAATTCGAATGAAAACAAAATTTTTAATTATTCTGTGTTAAGATTTATTGTGGACGTTTGTATACTTTTCATGCAATACTATAAATACAAATTCAGAGCCTCGCATCCATAAAAGGCAAATCTTTCGGCGCTTGCACCGGCAATAAAAATGTTTTGATAAATTTGCATTTTCCGCGTATACATGCACATTCGTAAAAACATTCTTAAGGCCTCAAAAATACCTAGCTAACAATAAGCTATACAATTAACAGATAGTAAGGCAAAATCATGTAATCAAAAAACACGTTAAGAATACGTATATGGCAAGTAATAATGAAATAAATGTAAAGCTTTGAAATGTAAATATCCAAAATAAGGCGGGAAAGATCAAATCCAACAAATATTTATATTTTTAATTAGCTTCGCTTCTCCTCAAAAAATGTCTACGCCCCCTTGCGGGGCACGCCCAATCGTTTGAGAACCATTGGTTTAAAATTAAGATGCTTTTGCTGTATGTATGACACTATGACAGCCCAACAAGTCTCTGCGCATGAGATCGTACATCCATTCCTAGACTTAAACTGCTGCCCAATAACGCTCTAAGGAGGAGACTGTTAATGGCGATCAAGACCACATGTCCGTTCCTATTCAAAGGTGTATGAACTATGAAAGGATGTACTTCAGTTTATTATTATACTTTTGCAGCTTATTTTTAGTCACGTGGAATATTTTATACCAGAAACTATTGGATTTACTTGTATTAATAATCATTTATGTATTGTATATTTTTCATTTTATACATTCATAATAAGTGCTTTTTTAAATAGGTATTTTGAAAGCACAATATCGATAACGCACTAATTTCAAATAACCTTTTTTTGTTGTTTCATTTTTAGGTGAAATAAAAGAAGAAGCTTATTGTGAAAATCCAGATATTATATTAATCGGCAATAAATGCGATCTAGAAAACAGAGCAGTCAGTGAAAAACAAGGACAACAACTTGCTAATGAATTAAAGTGAGATATTCGATGGTAATAATGATTGTAAAAACCTAATTGCTATAATTTTATAGCTATCGGTCGCTTATTTATCGTGTGAGATGAGTTTTACTGCACATCAAACTACCCGCGTTTGGGGACATTGAGACTACCTTGCGCCCCAAAGCCCCCATCACTCCACCCCCATCAATCTGTGCACGATTTTAGGAATAAAATTTTGAAGTGAAGGACGCTCCAGAAGTGTGTGTACCAATACGGAGGTAACTAATATCAAGTTGTTTAAAAGGACTGAAACCTATGGGCAGATGTATATTCACTTGGCTAACACAGACAGTCCCCGAACTCGTAATAGAACTAAAATAAGGAAAATCGGAATAAAATTATGGCCTAACCCTAACCTGGTACACACACTACGGGAGTACCAAGTGAAGTGTAGTAATTAAGCTATAATGGACGTTGAAGCAGCTCTATCGATTGCTTCCATCACGAAAGGTGGACTATTCGAAATGACTTCGGCATATCTAATCGCAATCCAGTAACTATTGTGGTTACGTGCACTAGGAAGATGTCTATTGAAAGGTAATGTATTGAGAAGACTGATCTTGTTAGGTATAAAAGTATACCATGGGTCGTTTTGCTGAATTGTTGTTTTGGGGATTTTCGTATTGTTGTCAATCAGCAAAACAACTCTTTTTCGCAACTAATAAACCAATTGATTTTACATTTCATAGTTCTTGAAAGATAGTTGAAGCAGTTAGAAGTCAATTATTTCTAATCTATATTCATTTTTCTGAATTTCTTATTTTGTTGTTTTATTTTAATTTATGAGAATATTTTTCATGGAAATATGGGAACACTTTTCTGGCCTTGTCGCAATTGTCCGCCAGATTTGCAGCAAACTTAGTAGTCAACTAGAGTCTAGACCAGGGGTGTCAAACTCGCGGCCCGCGGGCCGCATGCGGCCCCAGAGAACTTCCAATGCAGCCCTCGAACGATTCACAATAATTGTAATATTTTGTTTTAAATAGTCAAACAGAAAACGACAATTTACTGAAAGTAGTTTTGGGAAATTAAAATTTTTTTGTTTTCAATTTGACCTAATTATGATTACACCTTAAGCTAGCAAAAGAATACTTGAAAAAACACTCCAGGGATTAAATGAAACGCAAAGTGTGCATGAAGAAGATGGTATTTTTGAAGAGAAATGGGAGTTGAAATATTTCTGCATTTTTCAAAATTCTGAAGCACATCAGTACTTAGGGTTAGTTCGGTTACCTATAAGTTTTATTATCCGGATAACGGATATATCCGGGTATTACATGTTTTAACTACCCGGTTAACCGGATAGTTACTGCTAATTTTAGAGAACCGACTTCACGAGATTTTTGCGGTGAATTGACCAAAAACCACCTTGCATCTATATTGTGAATAGCTCAAATTTGACAAGATCGAATTTTGAAATGCTACACAGATTACATGGAATCCGAAGTATTGTAAAATAAGTCCTCAAAATTCAAAATGGTTTATTCCATCATGAAATCCGTTTCTTCAATACACGCAACAACCAAAAGTCACACCCGACTAAAAATCAACAAACTCACATGCCAGACGTCTTGACATATGTAATAAAAAAAACATTGAGTTTATTCTGTAGTATTTTTGTAAATTTTCGGGGCATATATTTAGAATAAGTCATTTTTAGTGTATGTATCAATCTTTTCTTACCAAAACTTTGTTCAAAAATGATTTGGATAGTTGTATATAAAAAATTAGGATTTTTTGTAATAAATTCAGTAAATTGCAATAATAGTAAAATGCAAAAATTAATATGTAAATGGTATTTTAAATTTAGGAAAATAACAAAACTTCATTCGGTTGTTTAATTGCATCACAATATATGTCACAAACTATCTAAAAATATGCTTTAAGTATACATTATCAAAGAATATAAAAAAGTATTTGCGGTCCTTTGCACAATTCCCCAAATACAATGCGGCCCTCGAAACCCCATGAGTTTGACACCCCTGGTCTAGACAGCAAAAGCTTATTTTCTGGCTAATCCATACGATGTGTTTTCATGCCTTTCGCATTGAATAAGTCTCGTACAATCACTATCAATGCCAACGCCCTAACCACAAGGCCATCGCGCCCTAAAACTTGAATCACTGCTTCATACATTTTACTTTCATCAGTGTTAATGTTTTTTTTACTTAACATGAACTAACAAACTGGCATATGCAACTAACAAACCAGAATTTAACTTTTCAGTGTACCTTATATGGAGACAAGTGCCGCTACAGGGAACAATGTAACAAAGGCAATAAACACTTTATTGGACATGGTTATGAAGCGTATGAGGGACTATGTATCCGGTATGGATCCTAAAACCGGAAAATCCGGTGAACCAGGAAATGTAGGACCGGAAACAAAAACTGAAACGCAGAGCAGTTCTTCGTGTGCTTGTTAAAAACGTCGCTCCCGCCTGGAAAGAAATTTATGAAAGCAGATATATCAGACAGGCCAGAGTCGCAGATAGATCTTCAGATGAGACTAAAACGACTCAATTCTAGCTAAAGAAGATTTCAAAAGAATTTCGCCCCCAGACTTGACTCCTTCCTATTTTGATAATAAGATGGATAGTTTATTATGAATATGTCAACTTCAGTCGAATTTTCCGCCTAACACTGAAAGAGCTTTTTATCCGGTGACGCGTATATTACCTAATCCACTCCACTCCCTCCAGTTCGAGCCCAGAACTGCTCTTTTGCAAAGATTATAGACAAATTTGCAAAATCGAATGCTATGAGGGTGTCCATAAAGTCTTGAAATTGTAAAATTTTTTTATCGATATCATATATTGTTCTGGCAATCACAGATGTATTAAATTAAGTAAAAATACTTAAACAATTACTGATTAAAAAACAGCAAACCTGGGTAAGGTATGTTGAGAACTGACTTAAATAGCAAATTTGAAATTATAAAAGGACTTTATGGACACCCTGTATATGTCCGACATACACACCGGTTACAAATAAACCGTTATACTAGTTTAATATACATTGTGCGTCAACTAGCATTTGTCGACTTGTGCTAAAATACATTTGTATAAGGTTTCTCACCTAAAATATAAATTCTATACTATCCAGGTATGTTCAAAACGGGTCGAATATTCGAATACTTCGAATTCCATTATATTCTGTATGAGGAAATTTCGAATTTAGAAATGAGTTACAATCTTTATATTTGAAAAGCAGAGATTTTGAGTTGCCAGACAAGTAGATCAAAGTGTACGATAATAAACGAAAAAAAACAATGACCTTTATATTCATGTCATTGTAGATGTGATTATCATGAAGATATAGTGATTTTATGTAATTTCCCACTCAAATTTGCCCCCAACTTAAAATGTATTCGATATTTCATATTCGAAAATGTTTTTTCAGAAAATGTTTGGAATAGTGAAATATTCGGTTTCGGCCATCCCAGGTCACAAGTTTCTGTCTAGTTTTCCTTTCTCTTATCGGTCATACCCAATAATAAAATGAATTTTGATTTAAATTTGACTCAACTTTTGTTACTTTTTCTAATAAAAATACCGTTATTGAATAAAGAGTACTTGAGCACAAAAATTTGGCAATTGGCTATTCAATATACAAATTTATTAAACCAATATCAATGCTTTAAACGAAAAATAATGTTTTGAAATATTCGTTGAGGAATATATCTACTGACAAAAATAAATAGAATTTCTACGTTTTTCGATTGTTCAAATTAAAATGTTTTAAAAAACAAAACAAAAAATAATTGTTGGCACAAACTAAAATACTGCTATAAAATTAACAAAGTAAAAAAAAACTATCGATCGTCAAAAATATCTTGTTGAAATTGATACTAGTGCAACTTAACCAAGTATCCACCATATTTTCAGCACTTCTACTAGAAAGAAATATATATAAATCGTAATATTTATCGTAAAAGAACAAACGTTATATAGAATTAATTTTTTTTATATATATATTTCCATCTGATATGTTGGAGAATAGCCTAGGAATAGTCATTGGGCGTTACATGGAAATGCCAGATAAATTAACTTACTTTTTGCTTTAATTTTTTGATCGTTATATTATTCAAACCATTATTATTTCAAGAATAAAGAATATTCAAGTTTATGTTTGCAGAAGTGGTGGATTATTTTGATGAGTTTTATTAAAAATGACTCAAATTGGGAAATAGGGGATTGGTAGCACAGAAACAGCTTTAGGGAACATTATCGAGTTTCTGATGATGTTTTGGTATCATTTCACCTGCCTAAGATAATAAATACTCTCAACAATAATCATTTTGATCATTTGAAATTTTCTTCATGCAAGCATCTATCTATACGCAATGATGATATAATCCGTTAATACAACTACTAAATTAAGAAAAATATATTATTTTGAAAGCTGCACTTTTATTTGGCTATTGAGACAGCCAGTAGCAGAATTCGACAGATCTATTCCTAGTCATAATAATCTAATTTCAAATTCAGTATTTTCTGCTAAAATATATATATATATATACAAAATGTAGCGGATCCCAAATCTGTCTGGTGTAATAATCATCGCAATGCGTGACCTGGGTATAAGATAATATTTAAAACTGGTCTGCTATTGGAAATAAAAACCCAATAACGGATACTCGCTTTGAGAGGTAAAACCTGAAGAGTATCTTAATGTATTTAGAATGAAGTTGTCCCCCAAATTCATTTAATTATTTCATAAAATATTAATTAAAATGGAGTTTGACGGAAACGTGAATTTTAGTTGATTCCAAACCATTACTCCCTAGTGACATCTAATGGATCACTTACACCTGTTTTTATTACTCCATACTGCCAACTAGCAGTCTAATATCTGATTATTATTATTTTGCATTTGTTTTTCAGCGTGCCCTACATTGAAACAAGTGCAAAGACGGGATATAACGTTAAAAAGGCCATCAATGAGCTGCTGGACATGGTTATGAAGAGAATGGTGGAATTTCTGGAAAGTGCCCACGAAGAAAAACCAAGATTTGGAATTCCCAAGATGACGGGTTCGATTTCAACCGATACAAAAAATGAAAAGAAAGCCACAACGAAGTGTTCGTGTTGATGTTTTTACACACTCATTATCTCGTTTTATAAATTATATTTTAGAGCAAACATTAGACGTTCTATTAGTGCGATAAACACTTGCTCATATACATATATTATGTTTCACGGCGTCGCCCAAGACGTTACTTTCATTCCGTCTTCTACACGGTACCTGTTATAACTGATAGCAGTGGCCAGCATAGAAATAAACATCCTCGCTAAGATAAACCGTTAAACTCCTTTTTATAATATCTAACCGTCGCTATAGAGTTTCCTTTATCGCATGTTTACACCGAACAAACTTTATTCTGCTTGCTATGATTTATAGTCTATCCGATTGAAAATTTTGCAACGAACATTCCAGTTTTCACGTGTAAGTTATATGCTAGGTCCTGCCCTGTCATCTCATCCTTAAATAGAAATATTTATCCTGGTAAAGTAGAATGTCAATAACACAACCTAATCGTGTGGTGTACAAAGATGTCTTGGCCAGCGTCGTCACGTGAGGTGATCATTCCAAGAAGTATTCTCATACCGTATTTGATCTTTTTGTAGCCCGGGCTCATATTTTTTTCAACCAACCCACTAACCGGGCCCTTATTCAAACCGGCCCTTATTCAAGCACGGGCGCTTGTTTATTTTCGATCGTTACAATAATTAATATATTGTTATTTCCAGTTCTCAAGTATGATTTAAACGAAAATAACAAAAATTTTGACTTTTTCTACGCACCGCAGGTACAAATCCGCAAAAGAAGAAAAGTTTTGCGACGCCCTTTCAATATTGAAATGACGCACTTGGGCGTCCCTACGCCCAGTTTGAGAACCATGGTGTTACGTAATCAAAGCTATCTGTTATGTACTTGGATGCTTAAGGCGTGAGTGTTATCTACCGGCGCTTAAAATTCAACAGCGTTGTGAGAAAAGCGTTTATTATTTTCTATTGTTCTCTACCACTGAAAAATTAGCTTTTACATCGGGCTGGTATTCAAGCAACTGCTCTTATTTATTGGACACGTAGTGGACATAACGATCGTTTCAATATTATGTTGTTCTTGTTGTTTGACACAGAATAACACACCTAGTGGAAATATTAAAAAACCGCTTTTCTCTTCGAATACTGGACAAATTGCTTTGAAATTTTCAGTGGTTGAAGATAAAATTTTTCCCCAGAAGGCTATTACTTTTATTCATTTTAAATATTTCTGTTAGCTCTGTGAGATTTGTTTTTGTTTGCTATGACGTCATTAAACGTTCTGCGGACATCGGACGCCATTTTGTGTCCTACTGTACTGCTTCGCTTGGTGTGAATATATTTGTAGACTGTGATCTGACGGTACGGTAAACCGTACTGTACTGCGAACAGACGTGTCCATATATTTGGGCGTAGCTCTCTTGTTTTTATGTTCTGTTCACCCGGGCGGCTATTCGAACAGGCCTCTAATCAAGATCGGGCGGTAAAACGAGCATATACGGTATATCAATTTTATTCTAAGTTTTTGTGAAATAATCGCCTAAACTAAGGGAGTAATCGATTTCGAGTTTCAGTTACTAAAAGATGGTTGAAGGTTAAATTTTTTTGGGGTATTATGGTACTCGATATTTCATCCACTATTTTACTATTTATTTTCATCCGGTAGCGCTCGACCACCTACGTGACGCCTGTCCCCCGTCTTTTCCAGTAACTGGATGCCTTGCTAAGGTTGTACCGGTATCGCTGTGTGAAGTCAAAGTACGAAAGCTGTAAAACGTGTTATTTAATTATTTCAATTTCAACTTAATTTTATATACGTTTCGTTTTATTTCATACGATTGTTTAAAAATCTATTTGAAATGCAGACGGCACAATTTGGTTTTGTCTATTAATTTGTTTTGCACTGTTTATATGGTATCTATTCGTTGAAAATCTTCCCCCCGATCTGTCAACTAGGTGTTAGAACTTTGAGTGTCGCAGCTCGATAACCAGTTTTGTTTCCCCGCGGCTTCCCTTCTCCAGTAATTTAAATATCATTTTTTCTCTATATTTTTGCATGTTTTTTTTTTTTTCACTGGTTGGAAAAAATAAACTTGACTTGTTTGACCTTAAAATGCAGTTAGTCTTTCATGTACTGAAGTTCTTTATTTTCAATTTTCATTCAAAAGCAGGCTGTGAACATTTAAATATGATTTCAGCACAAATCTATGCTGGGCTAAATCAACGACTAACAATTAAATTTTCCGTGAACATTTTATAGTACTTGATATAGTCTTTTTTATATCATTTTGTTCTCAGAGAAATGACCAATTCTCTAAAATATCTTATTAAAGATTCAATTGTTATCCTAAAATGAACTATTTATTCTAGTTGTTGTTACGCAACACGTTGATATATTAATTGTAAATCAATTAATTTATTTTTCATATTACTTGCATATTTATATATTAACAAAATAAAATATTGCATACTGGTATTGCTCCAAAATATTCGACTTATTAATTTTTCAAATTATCCTGGTTTCCTACGGTGGTTTAATATTTATCCCCAGGAAAGAAATGACGATGAAGTTTATTCATATGGCGGGCAAAGACTTTTAATCCAGTGCTTCTGCGATAGGTAACATGTTTTACGCCACTGATGATTACTCTGCTTGGTCTCGTAAGTTCGAACTCCGCGAGAGGTGGAGCGGGCTACTGGCCTTGTCCCCGTAGAAGAGTGGTTGGCCCTATGTGCTGGTCGATTACGAATTCCAACTTCGCCCAAGTGCGTATGGTAAAATTGCCTGCTATACTGTTTTCACACACCAAACGCCGTGGTTCGTCATACGATTGAGCCGTTTTTCCTTTCGTCGGCAATAACCAGGCAATTTTTGTATATTTGGGCATCTACATGGGTGGTATTTGTGGAGGAAGTCGGTCGTAATAGAGCACATAATTTTCTCGATGGTCGCAGGGCAGGTCGGTTAACAACTGGCGAGGTATTTCTATACACCAAATGAACTACCAATCGGACAACACACTGATGTTTGCGCTATGATCAAGAGGCAAAAGTCCTCGGCAACTATTATGGGCGCAAATAATCTTTTTTTGTGCTTATCAAACTCACCGGTATCTCGACTTCTTCTCCAGAACGCGGATTGCCAAAATCTGATCAATAGACGTTCTGGGCCCAGAAAAAAATGCTCAAATTTAAGCCAAACGTGTGCACGTGATTTATAACCATTATTTTGATTTAAAATATTTAGCCATATGTATCAGAAGCTAATGTTAGCCTAACGCGGTCCTTACGAGACGAAATTTTGATTACTGCAACGGCAATAAACCAAAAGTTATCAAACTTATGCTTAAATATCGGCAACACAACTAAAAACTGACAAATGATTAAAGCCAACGTCTACAACAATGTCTGCAAATCTCTCCGACAATTTCAAAACAAAACTTTGTAGAATTAGTTGGCTTGCTCGAACAAACCCCTGAGAAAACAGCCTTGAGAAATTTGGTGGTTTGTTGAATTAACATGACCACGTACGGAATGTATGTTTTATTTACAAAGTGCCCAAGAGGCAGAAATGTACCAATTGATACAACAGAATACATTGAATAGGGAACTGAAATCGTCTACATAAAGAAAGAACTCAACTGATATAAAATATTGGAAACCATGCCCAATAGACACAGATGCTATTTTTGTATTAAACCCCAAAGCATTTCCGACCCGAGTAGCTCTATATGTCTAAGTATGTTATTCTTCGGCGTCCGCGCATCTGAAAAATTAATTGATCAACTATTCACATACCCAACATGAACAGGTAACCGGACGAGAAGCCGTTGCTTGCGACGTGATTAAGCAATATTATTGACTTTCCTTTCCCCAAGAAAAATATGCAAATCCTATTATATGCTAGTTCAGAATGACATGGTACACATTTTAAATTTCAGGCACGTTAACGAAATTCCTTGAACACAAGAAAATAATTACCTATTCCAACCTCAAATAGACCATTGAATATCGTTAAGCAAAGAGAAGCGTGTAATAATATGGTGCTCTACTAATATGAGATTACAAAATATAAAAAAAAACTAATGTAGGAAAGCGTCGGAGCACGAAGCTTTAAAATTTTGTTAAATATATCAGGGGTGGCCAACCTGCTTTCGACTAAAATCTTCAAAATAGCTCGCGATCGACTGAGCGGTAATAAGGCCATACACAAGTTCTATTCGTCGCTCGCTTTGAATTGGAAAAAAAAATTGGCATTCTGATGCCACTGCTACCATTGCAAATACACATTACTACACTAAACTTGAAGCGAGAGTGAGACAATAAATTGCACATACAGCAGATAGACTACTCGAGACATGGCGATCGATCAACGTGTTGGCCACCCCTGAAATATATTATCAGTTTGCCAAGTAAACTACCACAGAATAATTCTAAGATGGTTCTGTTTTGGTTAAATTATAACACTCTCTGGGAAGCGTACTACATCTATAAAGAATTAAATGCGACTAGTAGAAAAATAACATAAAAATCGAATGTTGAAGCTATCTTTCAATTATTGAAATATTTATTAATAAAGCTTTCCCCAGTAAAGGTAGAATTGCCAAACAATTCTGGAAATCAACAAAAATTCTCATTTCAGAGTTAGATCTACCATACAATAGCAGAAATGAGTATTTTAAATGAGAGAAAAAATAACAAAACAAAAAATAAATAATAATTAAAAGATTAGAATACATATAAGTTGAATTGCTCTCCTCACAAATACAGAAGTAACAGAAGCATTGAGTGTATGATCGGGAATTCTATTTTAATATAAATTTTAGAGAGATCCTGATTGACTATGCCATTAGCACTTCGCGTTTCGATTAAAACGAGAGAATTGTATGTTCAATATCTTTTGGTCAAAACTGTACATTTTAAAAGATGGAAATTGCAAAATAAAGTCTATCAGGATTGGAATGCTTTCTTCCCAAATAAATTTCATGCTTGTATAATCCAGCTCAGTGGTTTTCAATCTTTTGATAGAGCGAAACCAATCTCTTTGGCGAAACCCCAATCAAACATTCCAAAAGCTCAAGGAACCTTTGTTTAGTTGTCTGAATTGTATATGTATAGAAGCAAACATAATACTGGTAAAACAAGATTAAACTAAATTGAAAACTTGTCTCTCGGGCCACATAATTTTCTTTGTGGGCCACATTTGGCACGCGGGGTGCAGGTTGCACACCTCTGCTGTAGGTTATGAATCCTGGTTTGGTACAATTGCAGTATAGTTAATGTTTGTGAAAAATTCCCCATAATTCATCAAGATAAAGAATTTTGAAAACGTATTGGAATAGTCTGGTTACCTTAAACCCATACTGAATTCCATATTGTATATAACATGCAGCTACTTATAACCCATGAGGTAGGATAGGGTTCGTCTAATGATTATAGAATACAAGAAAATAAGATGAAAAAGTGAGAGAGTGAGATGAGAAAACTAGGATAAATAGTAACAATAAAGCAGCTAATACGGAACAATACAACGTTATATACTTAGCATCGTTAGAAAAAGCAGAATTAAGTTTAAATATGTTATTCATATGAATTATGTTTAAATACATTCGAAATTGGTTGTATTCGATATAGTATAATTTTAACTTTAGGAATCAGTTGGAATATTTTCATTTGAAAATGTCTCTTTATTTATTTTTTTCTTTTGGGATAAATATGTCAATCCTATCTTATGATAGACAAAAAAATAGTTGAATTCTGACAGAATAAAATAGAGAATACAATTATAGTATTTATCTCAATCATTCTGCATACCTATATTTGATTTCTACGAATTTGTGAAAGTTTTGATTGAATAATTTTCCTTGTGGAACAGATCTTATTCGATAATTCATTTTAAAGATACAAATCATTTCAGAATGTTTTCAGAATAATCATTTCAGAATAATTGAACAGTGTTCAATTATGATTCGGTCGAAAATTGTCGCTTGCAAATTGTTAAGCATATAGAATTCGAGTTCAGAACTGCGTGACTCCCCTTAATTGGATGATTCAAGAAATAACTTTTATTATAACATAAGTCGGAACATTCTTTTGGTGTTTATGAAACAAATATTCCGCCAATTGTCCAACCAATGATATTTAGGTATTTCATAGAGCAGGGTGTTAAGCATTACCATACACCCTCCAATTACCCGATAAGCTCATTACAAATTGCAATATTAGTGCACTTGAAAATTGCTGGTGCTCAAGTCGGTTGAGATTTTGGAATTGCTCCAGTGAAATATGCTGAAACCACATTAGGTTGAGATTGGACAACAACGCGATCTGATCCGACAATCGGTCTTGGTCGTGTTGTCATACCTTGACGAGACGGTGGTATCGTTGCCTGATGCAGAGCCTGAAAAAAGAGAGATAAGTTTGTGCCAATGGGAATTTATCAATTCAAACGAGCGCTCTAGAAGCATGTGTAACAATATGAAGGTAACTAATTTTGTTTGCCTATTTTACATCAAGTTGGGTAAAAGGACTGAAGCCTATGGGCAGGGCGTATATTCACTTGGCTATCAAAGACATTAATAGAACTCATAATAGAACTCAAATAAGGAAAATCGAAATAAAATAATGGCCTAACTCTAACCTGGGAGTACCCCCAAATGCAGACGAAACAAAAAAATAAACGTATTTTCATTTTACAATAACGTAGTACATTGTTATTTTCTGAAAGACAATCACGATTCAGTCACTTTTCGATTCAGTGATTGTCCAACAAATTAAATTTTACCTTTTTGCACCTTTTATAATAGCCGAGATATTGACATTGGACATTCTAATTTAGTATGGTAATAAATAGAATAGTTTCATTGGAAAATTTAACATTCCGAGCAACTGAACTCTCACTGTATGACCAAAAATCCACGTTCATTTGATTTATGAAAACTATAGAATAGAGAGCCCACCAGATAACTGTTTACTCTAATTTTGTCTACTGTATATGTTTTTCTAGATTCAATTTGCTCAAAAAATTTTGGGTATTTTCGAAATGGACATATTTGGATTCAAAGTTGAACAATAAATACCATATATTGTGCAGAATTTGTTAGCCAATAATCACATTAAATTGCGAGAGGAGTTGCAAAATGAAGAAGATTTGATGCAAAGTAATGCACTGGAAACAACTATTCCAAGCTAAGTCGAGTTCATCACCAAAGCAAAAATAAGAGATTCATTTCTCAAAGTTACACATGTATTATGTCTCAATGCAGAGCCTGGAAGCCGAATTTGGCTTAGAGTCTGAAAAGAGTCATACTTCAATTCTTACAGCAGGAGAAAGCCAGAGTTAAGAAGGGTCTGGAGTGGCATGGTTGATCGTGTTGTAACTGAATTACCAATTCCTGAATGCCATACCAATACACCAACTGAAAGCTTGCAAAACCAAGCTTATGGGTACTGTTCTGAGGCGATTTTAGCAGCCTGGAAACGTACTGAAAAGCTGAATAGCCACCTCTTTCTCAATAACTCAAATAGAAATAATTCAATTCAGCTTACCTGTTGGCTTAATCTGTTGCTTTGAGGCAACGATGAGAAATGTCGATTTCCAGCGTTACTATCATTACTACTGTCAGATGAATTACGTTCAGAGGAACACGTCAAATACTTTGGATCTATGCCGGGAGCAGGACTGAAAAAAAGAAATGGTAAAAATATAGTACATTCAGGGCTGAGGTGTCAGGGCCCGGAGCCGTGACATTTTGGTGGAGCGTAGCCAACAATATCAGATGGCGCTAGAGTCATATTAGATGGAATGGAGCTGACTCAAGAGCTGAAGTCGGAAGCTCAGAGCCATCATGATTTCTAATGCCTCCAGCCCTGGGTACAATCACCATAAAATTTGTCGTAATTATTAAATATAAAATGACTAGGATCCAAAATTGAAACATAATTTTTTATAACTATCAGTAGTGCACAAGACTAACTCCCAATCCTTTCTCAATGCCTTTGCGCTAGTGGATACGTATGCGTATAATGCAAGGATGCTGTAGCAGTAATAAAAATACTATTCTATGCAATTCAAGAGTCCTGCTGCACACTAACACAAATATATTTCTGTAAGGCTTCGTCTGACCTATTTATCTTCAGTATTTAAGCGACGTGATTGTTATTTTCTTGTCATTGTTGTAAACTGCTTGTCTGAGGAAGTCTGATTTTGGTCAGATGAAATGTTACAGAAATATATTTGTGTTATTGTGCAGCACAATTCTTGAATTGCATATTATAATTTTTTATACTTAAACGAAATGGTTTTTCCGCTACTCTCCTAGTAGTTAGAGAGATTGACCTAATTATGTTATGTGCTAGGCATCTTGGATTCAACCCATATTCCAACCACACTCTCATCCAGAGTAAAGTAAATATGGCAGTCAATGAAAAACCGGAAAGACAGGCTCGTCCTGAAAAGTCGTGTATCAGCAGGGTGAACCTAGGGGAAAGCGGTGGGGACATGATGTCGTATGTTAAGGGCAGCAGATCCAAGTTAAGGGGGAATCATTATCAGAAACTCGCCCTAAGCTGCAGAAAAGTTTGACACGCATCATATATCAGTAACCACTAGTTTAGAGCCTTATTCAGAACACAGGCACAAAAACACAGAAAATGAGGAAAATTTAACTAGAATATCGGTGGGAAACCGAAGATTTATCGATCTAAGGTTAGGGGATCCCCAAAACAGTGGTCTTACTCCATAGTGACACCGTGTGTCCCATCACTAATCAATTAATAACTCGCTAATTATAAGACATAATCCATCCAAAATCAATGGGCTTCTGATCAGAGCTATGATGAATGCACATGCAAAATTTGGAGCAGATTCAACCTCGCTTTCGTGAGATATCGCGTGCATCTAACACACAGACAAACAGACAGGCAAATACCTATCAACATACTTACCGATCTTAAGATCGATAAGTAATAACATTCAATTAGGAATTGTAATAATATTCAGTTAATAGTTCAAGTTTGAAGACATTTATTGAATATTTTAAAACATACCTCTTATCTCTTGCCGGTTTCGGTGAAAAATTCTCTTTATTAGCTGGTGGTTGATTTTCAGTTGCAGGATTATAACGAATTTGTGGACGATTAGAAACAGGATGTGGCTTCATCTGCCTAATTCCCGCATCCCCTGCCCCTCCCACCAGAATTGGTGGGCGTGGCGCTGGCATAATCACTGGACTGGCTCCTAGCCCTGGGGTAATGTTGGGACCTGAAAGGTGTAAAGCCTGTGGAGTTGACCCAACTGGAGTGCTGTAATTTGGCTGCAAATGAAGAAATTTGTAAAAATTTTGTCAGTTATTGGAGTAAAAAAAGAAAAGCACTGCTTCGTTGAGAGGTAGGAGTAAAAAAAAGATGTTTCTCCGTGACATCATGAAAAATGTCTATATATAGGTCAACTGAAGCAGCAATGTGGGTCAACTGAATTTTTCGAAATAACTTTCAAAAAGCAATCATTTAAAATTTAGGTACTCCTGAAGTATGTGCACCAATATGTCGCATAACCTGAACCCTAACCTGGTACACAACCTGAGTTCAGGCTGTGCGCCATCTTAATGCGCATACTTCAGGAGGTCCAAAATTTATTTAGATGAAATACGCAAATCGTGACTGGTTTGCTATCAATGGTGATTACCAGGAATGTAAACAAACGAAACGAATATTTGAATACATTCGAATTCCATGATATTTGATAGTAAATTTATGAATTGAGAAACAATTTAGAACATTTTTACAATACGATATCTCAACTGATACTAAAGAGCACAGAGTAAAAATTTTCAGCAAGTAACAGACCTGTGGTGGATTTCTCGTTTGTGATTTGAAGGAATTAATTGAAGAAGGATCAATTCCAACATTTGAATGAGTAAAATGATTTGGAACTGATGTCACAGTAGTAGGATGTCTTGGTGGAACAGCAGATACCGATCCGATCTGACGCTCGTTTAACTGCTTGTTCAACCAGCTTATAACTGAAAAAAAATCGTTCGAAAAATGTAATCAAAACTGCTTAGATATCTTGTTGAATTCCCAAAGATAAATGATGCAAGTATGCAACTAATATTCACTACTGCGAATACTGTTCTGAAATACATAACACAAGGGGGCGGCCTTAGACCAAACTAGGCTAATGCTCACATCCCATGCGAATGATGTAATAGAGGATTGGGGACTGGGGTCTTGAAAAATTCAATCAAAATATCAAAGATTTTTCTTGTCTAGTGGTATTGCCAATGGTACCGATGGCACAATACCATTTATACAGAGATAGGCATGTCGTTGCAACAGAGATGCCCCTAATACTGGTTAGTACAGGAAAACTTGAGACAATTTATAGAATAAATCTGATGGGAAAATACCTAGGTGGAAAAAGATTCCACTCAAAAGAATTTCTTTGGGAAGGTATTAAATAAACAAATTTCTTGGCAAGTGTTAAGTCAACGGCTGCGTATTTTCCGGACCATAATGTGCAGCAGGTTATAAGACGAACATACTGTCAATAAATTGCTTAGATTGGGTTTTTATTCTTACCTAACGCGCACAGACCTAAAAAATGCACCCGGTACTGGTTTTGAGTGTAGACAATGAAACAAAGCGTAAAACACTACCTGATTCATACATTACGTGCAACAGCCTACATGGCCACGATCGATTTTTATAAAAAAAAAGTATTTTAAGTGTGCCATGGTTCGTAAAGTACGGTAATCTGGTGGACAAATCCTTCTTAATCCTAAAAATACAACCCCTTTTTGGGAAAAGGTAGGAAAGTTCAGACGTACGAGTTTAAGCAGGTAGAGCAAGGAAAGGTGGTTAGTTTCACATAACCCCATTTGTTAGTACAAGTTTAATATAATATCTTGCCAAATCCTGATGCAGGTTTTGGGCCGTAGAGAAATGGATCATATATATTTGTAACTCACCGTTTTCATTAGTCTTTAATAAACCTCTGCTTTCTTCTAATTTTTCGATAGTCGTTTCCAACTGATTTTTCAGTTTTCCTATTTCGTCTTCTCGTGACTGTAAAAAAAATTGAAATTATTGTATAATCTTTTGAAGTGAAATTTTGTTTTATAATATGATTTTATCTAAAAAATGAATATATTAATATTGGACTAACGAGGTAATAGATGAACTGCTGAACATTTGTATTCTACACAGATTGAACAGAAATACTAATATGTCAAGACACTTGTCCTAAATAACTACTTTCATTTTAGGCACACTAGGAATGGGAATCAGAACTGTTCAAACTGGGTTTACAGAGGTTCGTCTACTGAAGCATATGGAAAACACCAAAGGGCAAGCGGCATTAGCATTGGGAAAGACAACTGGTGAATGTGTCAGTCTTCTTGCTTTCCGGTGTTTTTAAAAAGTCTCAAATTTTCATGAAGTAGCCTATTATGTTAGGTACAAGATAGCTGAACTCTGCAATAATGGAAAGATTGTCCTCCATTTGCAATCAAACCTTCTCACACGTAAATAGGCATTTCACACCAAATTTAAGACAAACTAAAAATGGTGCTCCAGAAGTATGTGTGTACCAATATGGAGGTAACTAATTTTGTTAGCCCACTTTACATCAAGTTGTGTAAAGGAACTGAAACCTATGGACAGGGGGTATATTTACTTGGCTAACACAGACAGTCCCCCATATTTGACTACGGGAGTACGCAAAAAAGTATGAAATGAAGTACAAAGTATTCCAGCAGAAACGAATGTTCTAACTGTGTGTATAATACAGGGAACAAAATATTAAAATTATACACATTGAGCTGTGACTGGTGCGGAATGATTCCAATTTTTTTTTTTAATTTCTAGTAGTACCAAGTATAAACAACCAAGATGATTTTAAAGAAGTCTGAAGCTGAAATCATTACTAGGATTTATATTCAAATCTTATATCGACAAAATCTTAAATCAAATACCAAGTTTCTTAAAGGTATTTAACTTTCTTTCATACGGGCTTTATTAATAATATGCAGCATTTGTTAATAAAGACCAGCAAATGAGAATAGTCTTCACTCCTCAGTACTGTTGATCAGTTTCCAATGATCGTTTCAAATTGAAACAAAACAGTTGTTTCCAAAATAACATTTTTACAATTTGTAATACAAACAACATGAACGTTAAACGATCAAAAACAAGTTTGACGTTGTTGCCATTAGATTTATGTTTTTATTCGATCGAGATTGTAACATTGTTTACAATTCAAGCATTTTTTAAAACGTTCACAATTGTTTGATGGGGGTGAAAGAATAAGGACAGAATCTTTAAATGTCCAAGTCGAAAGGTTGACGAGTATAAACACACGCATCTCCTTGGAGATTTTGGGTTACATTGCACAATGACTAAATGATTTCGGCCCATATATATCCGAGTGTAATCTACACTGCATATTGTAATTTGTGAATTGGATGCCTGACTAATGAATCGCGTTAGAATTCCGGTGATTAAGAACTTTTTGTTAAAATGTAAAAAGACACCTAGTTAATTGTTTTAATGTTGACAAACACTAATCGTAAGTCCACGAATTCATTGTTATTAAAATTCGATCAAACAAGGCAGGCCCAGACAAAACGAGACCAAATATCTATCAAATTATCTACAGAATAAGCTTGGAAAAATTGAAAGAGATAATTATTAACAAAACTGCTTAGTGTAAGTAGAAATTTGGCTTGCTTATAGGAAACTGATAAAAGTTATCAAAGGCTTTTGGTTCTGTTGTAAATAATGTGTTGAATTAGTTAGACAACGTGAGAATGTAATCGGATACAACTGTCGATAGACATTTAAAACAACATTTCACAACCACAGAACACAGTTAAAACACATGATTTCAGTTCATCAAACAGATAATGGTTTAATAGGTATAAATGAACAATAAGTAATTACTGGAGCCGATTATGATTTTTACATTAAATAGTTTTCAATTCCAATTTATTTCTACTTAAAAGATATTTGAAGATTCACTAACAGCCAATTTTTTAAATATTTTTAGATATTTTTGACATTGATCAATGACTCCTTTGAATCATAACTTCTAAAAATAGATTAGAAGTCCTGGATTTTTGCCATTGGCAGTGAAAAAAGTCTTCACCTGCAAAAAGGATGTGAATGAATAGGAGGGTTAGAAACCTTCCAAGTGGAAAATAGATTTTAAAAATGGCATAATACCTTTCTAATAATAGATAGGATTAACAAGGTTGCCCAGAAATATTAATTTCTGAGAATTATCCCCTCGTTATAAAGTGTGCGCTAAAATACTGAACAAACTGAAGATAGAAGACTAACAGTGGCAATGACTTGAATCATAAATAGTTATTTTTTATATTTTTCATCAAGTATTAACATATGAATCAAATACTTAATCAATTGTAAATAATCTATTCACTATACTAGTACCACTTAGACACACATGATTGAACAGTAACAGGTCCATGATGCCCTTATAGATGGGGGCACATACTGATTCAGGGAAAACTATCAAAAAGGTAATTAATGTAGCCTATATCTCCAGACCCACCTTAACATTATTAGTGGCAGTATCTAAATCTCTTTTTAATTTTTCCATTGTTTGTTCTTTTTCTCCGATTAATTTTTCTTGTCTCGTTGTTACTTCATTACGAAGTTTAACTTTTCCCATATAACCTCTTAATTCACCTTGTAAACGTTTAATAATCTCATTGCCCTGGAAAAAGAAAAGATTGTAGGAACAAGAACAACACATGGACCAAAAATGGCAGTGTATATACGGTGAATACGATGATTCCTCTTAATTAAAAACATATATTTTTGTGCTTTGCTGTTAATTAAATTCCAGTCTAATGCACAAATTGGAGCTGCAAAGTGGATAGCACAACTGCTATATGCTATATGAAACAAATGACTGTTTATTTATTTCCATACCTAACCGGGATCGATAAGCAGACGCAGGGGCTTAACCTACGGGAAGCGCGAGGGTCGGAATCCCCCTTTTGAAATGGAACAAAACTTTTTTTTGGTGCTCCCGAAGTATGCGAACCAAGATGGCGGACATCGGAACGTAACATGGGTAACAGGTTAGGGTTAGGCGATAATTTTTTTCCAATTTTCCTTATTTTAGTCCTATTATCAGTTCGAAGACTAGCCAAGAGCCTCCCGTAGTATTTATACCTAAAATTATGGCCTAACCCTAACCTAGTACACATATTACATTCCGATGTCCGCCATCTTGGTTCGCATACTTCGGGAGCCCCCTTTTTTGGTATTATACATAGCAATTTTTTATAACTTGAAACGCTTCAATGGTTTTCGGCCTCAGGAACAATCTAAATTGCCACTTAGAAATGTCAGAATCTTTTCTATTGAAAATTCCTGTCTACCCCCTTGACAAGACGAGAGGCAGTGGTTTGAAATTAATAATCCCTGTATGTAACATCTGCAACTTTGCTTTGAACTCGATATGCTTGAAAAAAGTAAATCTTTACTGAGCAAGAATAAAACACCTTTAATAACTCTTCAGACATTGTCTTTATCGTATTTTCTAATTTTCTGATTTGTGTTTGTTGTTCAGATATTCTTTGCTCTGATTGCGACTGTATAAACAAAAAAATATATAATTAGTTAAATCTATAAGTCCATGGGGTGGTGGGCATCATCTTCCCAGTGAGTCAGCGTTTACAAACTTTTTGTTCGTGCAGTATCAAATTAACAGGGAAAAAACTCACTGCGCACTTGCATAAAAAAATAGCTGCCTTTAAATAAAACTGACATAACAGAAAGTACACAGCTAAGTAAGGTAAAACGAATTTATAGATTAATATGCACAGTATTTAAAATAAAATACAATTCAGAATTTATAATAAATACATTATGTCAAATGCTCAAAAAATATATTAATTATGTTTAACACAATTTTGTTAATTCTTGAGGCGCACTCAGCAAATTATCGCATTGTACTAGTGCACCGCGGCACCCCCTTTGGGAGACGCTGGAATAAGCCATTGTATAATATGGTTTCAAGACACCTAACAATATTTCGAAAATGAAGTGCGCGTTGTATTGTGGAATTCTAGAAACCTTATACAAGAAAACATTTCAATTTATTGCAAGTTTAAATATCTCTCAACACGGCTGTGCACGAGCAGGCCACAAATTTTGTCCAAGTGTTCTGGTTGTTTTTGGTGCTTGTATGTGAAATATTAGAAAATATATTGAACAAAAGTTAAAGGAATGGTACAAAATGCATCGCATAATACTTACGACGAAAACTGCTTGAAAAAAACATATAAACACAAACCTTAACATCCTGAGATGTTTCTAATGAACTTGTTATTCTTGACATGAGCTGTTCTTTATCTAATAATTCTTGTTCAATAACTGCAACTCTCGTCTTTAATTGTTGAAGATTTTTATCCTGGAGAAAGGAAGATAATGCCATCAGAATCAGATAGCAATTCATCAGTACATTTTGGAGGATTGAATGGTATATGAATATGTACTCTATTATTAGAGTCAAATCAAGATCTTGGAAATTGTGGAAGAATAATTATAAAAGTTTGTCACACGTTAATCGTTATTGCCTTTTGCCTCAGTTCATTCACAAACAAAATTAAAGATTATTACTTTGGATTGTAATCAAAAAGCCTATCTTTTTTATAAACCTAACATTAAATTAATGATATCCAGATGATTAAATTGTTCTAGCAGCATTGAATACATTTTAATTTTGGGCACGCAGTTGTCTAATGGTTGCTGTGATAGGTAGCTAGTCCCGTAGAAACCAAATCTAAGCGACGACAATGATTGCAATATTACAATTTCTAATCAAAAGTAGTAGTACTGGGTAGTAAGTACCACTACCAACACATACCTGATTGTGTCTCTCTGCATCCAAAGCATTATTTTCCCTTCTTGATTGTTGAAGTTCGTTTCTGCATCTTCTTAATTCATCGTCTGTTCCAGTTAATCTGGCTTTCTGTTCTCGTATTGTTGCTTCAGCCCTATATCGCCTGTCCGTTAATTCCTATAGATGAGAATTCAGTGTTATGAATCCGATGAACAAATTTGCCATATTTGTGAAGGACTGAATGTTAATAACAGATTACCCTGCTTGGGTTCGAATTCCATGCGGGGATAGTTATGTGTGAGAGGAATGCTGGACTCCTCGCCACCGAAGGTTACGGCTTCTTTCACCATCAAGTTCATGCTTCCGAAAAACAAATAACAGGCTAACTAATCCCATACCCGACATGGACTGTTAACCAGACCAGTAGCCGTGGTTAGTCTTATGATTAAGCTGTCTCATTGTCTTCTCTCCCCCGAGACAAATATGTAAATCCTATCCTATCCTTCGTATAAAACTTATGTTAGATTCAGGGTTATCTGTGAAGAATTGAATGTTATAGTATAGGGTTGGGTGATCAAATATTTGAATTGAATCTATTATTCAAATCAAGATACAGTTTTGTAATTTTTCAAGCGTATAATCACCGAAAAGAGATTGCGGTCGATGAATAAAGAAGTCTAATAATGTCACTCGTTACTGTCAGCGTATAAGTGAAGTAATAGTTGAATGAGATTATAGAAATAGTCGGATTGTAAGTAATTTGTGTCGACGGTAACTCCAATAAATAGTAAATTTTATCAAAAACTAAATCTTTTGATCATAGCATTCATAGGTATTCGAAACAAATTAAAATATCTTCAGATTTACTACTCGGAATATCCCTTGATGTAAAATTACAGATATTGCTATTTTAAATTTATGAAAAATGGAGGAAAATTTAAAAAACAAAGAGACCTTATTAATGTTTTCCACATCAGAAAGTCTTTTCTCTAGTTGACGAACAGTTTTTTGATAAGATGTCTCCATTTCTTTCCTCTCTCTGTCATGTCGCTGCTGCATTTCAGATTGAATCTAAAATAATGATTAATTAATTTGTAATTAATAGTCATAATTGAAAATAGGGAGCGCTTGAAATGATTTTGATAGGTCGATAAGTCTATAATGAAAAATAAGAAAGAATGTAGGCCGTTTAATAAGCAAATGGTAGTTTGCGACAATGCTGAGTAAGTCCAGTGCCACCCAGTATACATTGACCGATGCTTCATACAGTCATTCTCATTTTGATTACGAGATTTAAGTGCAGGTGTGCGGCCTTGCAGATGGATCAAAACACTTTGGTAAATATCTAAGGTATGGGAAGCAATATCAGTGGTTTTCAAACGGTGGGGCGCGTCCCACAAGAGGGATGTGGACTATTTTTAAAAACGAAAATATTTGTTAAATTTAATTTTGTCCCCCTCACAATGGGCCTCACTTTGGATTTGAATATTTACGTATTTTTAGGTTTTTTTTTTTGAATAAAACATGTTTTCACCTCACTATCAGTTATCTGCTTATTGTTAGCTAGTTATTTTTGACGTGGGGCACAACACTGGACAAATTTTTAAAAAGGGGGTGCGGCTTCAAAACTTTGACAACCATTGCTCTAGATCAGGGGTTCTCAACCTTTTTCCTGTTAAGTACCCCCTAGTCATGAAACAATCAACCCGAACCCGAGGAATCAGACACTAAATAAAGTTGTGATATATCTCTCTCTTAAGATTAAATCACACTCCGCAATGCTTGCAGCATATTGATTTTTAGGCTTCACAGTTTGGCTGCAAAGCTGTGGATTTCACATTGTTGCGTCCAGGGATGGCCAATTCGAATAAAGTATTCGAATGTATTCGAATATCTCGTCATTCGAATATCGGAATTAGCGTTCATAAGAATATCGGATATTTGTGTGACGTCACACATTTTCGACGGCGCCCTCAAAACGTTTCCGTTGAATGAAAACATTCTCGATAGAAACTTGCGCGTGATTGTTTTCATCACTCATCAGCGTTACGTGTTATTTTGAGGCCGTAAACGCCTTTACGTTTGTGTTATTTTCTTTCAAACGAAAATTTTCCACAAATTTGTTCCACGTAACGAAGACAATTATTTTATTTTGTACGCGCACGGAATTGTGAATCTGGTAAATACGTTCATCGGCGGCGAGTTTCTAAAGACAACGCAACTTTTTGATTGAAAAGCGGCAATTTAAAATACTAATAATAAAACCGTAAACAATATAAGTTTTATTGAGGCCCGCGAAAATTTGAAAAACGCTTTTCTAGGCAGTGAAAATCGCAGAATTTCGTGTGCCTCTGGCACACATCATGTTTGGTCGGCGTTTAGAAACATATCGTCACGAATTGAGGGCGGGATTTGCCTGATTATCCATTACTTTAAATTGCCGTCGAATATTTTCAAAGTATATTTAATCAATTTTATTTTGATGAAATAAATTTCACTCCGAGATGTTACAGAAGATTTACGGATTTTTCGAACGGTTTTATCTAAAAATAATCAGAGTGGCAGCATTTCGATTGAGCGGAGACACTGTTATTAAGTACATCTAAATATTTGCCGAATTCGCAAAACATTACACGGATCAAAACATTATTTAATCGGGCAGTTTACCACACGTTTTTATTTTTATGACCGCGGATTGCAATGGTATATAAGAGTGGTGAGGATTTTATTTTGTCGACGCAACCGCAGGTTAAATTGAAGACAATTAAATTAATAATGAAGCAAGACATTTTAAATATGCCCGTATCGGTCACGAATTCATCACTTTGCACAACAGAAAAATATATTGTTATATTATTTGTTGTAAAAGTCGACTCTCTTAACAGGTGGCATAATCGAGACGATGAATACCTATTTTCAATTTACTGCTAAACTTTATATTTATATTCATTGTATGAAATGAATTATACTCTACTACACTCAACAGGTTTTTATATCATTATTTGAGATTTTTCTAACGGCGATAACGAGTTGGCAAGATTGCAAAAATACGTATTAAAATTAAATACATCAGGCAGTTTATCTCGTACTTTTAGGTCACAGATCGCCGTGGACCGAATAGTAATGTTTTTTTTTGACGTAGGAAGAAGCAACCGCGAGTTACGTTGGACACATTAAATTAATATATAAAGATATTTTAGAAACTCGTAGTTGTCATGGATTGAATATTTTACGTAATAGGATGATCATTATACGCCGAAAAGACGGCTCTTTTAACGATCGCGGAATCGCGGTGGGTGTTACCAAAGTCACTTTGGGTGTTACAGGCGGCAATGGGAGTTTCCGATTTCGAAAATCCTGGCTGCGCGGCTGACAGTGGTGGTCATTTATCCTCTACTAATTTATTTCTAATTTCGAACACAACAATATGTTACACATAATAACAATATGGTTCACATAAATTAATATACAAATATACTGGTAGGTAGTAGAATACTCTATGCTTAAATATTAGAATTTTTAAAGGCATAATGGATTTTCGATTATTGTTGCTTGTTTCAGTTGCCTGTATTGCCAATAAATTTTATTACTCTCAGAAAATATACACAATTATCTGAATACAAGTAGTATTTTTGTCAACAGACTTGACTATTATCATAATATCATGGTACCAATGATAGAAAGCGTCAGACAACTCCTTGGCTATCTTTTCATATGGTCATTTGTACAAAGTGAATAATTTTAATAAACTGACTGTGTCACAAGTTGCTATTATTTTTTATTGATGGCTATAAACTATCAATTATCTTGTGTACATATATTGTTGGTTTGTGGCTTCATTCTGATATTTTCATTGAAGCTTATTTCCTAATTTACTGGGTTTTAATAAACTAAACAAAAATGTGTTATTTTCGATTTTAGAATGTATTCGGAATTCCAGATTCGAAAACATTATTTTAGAATGTATTCGGAATAGTTTAGTATTCGGAAATGGCCATCCCTGGTTGCGTCACAACAACGCAAGGTCAGGAAAACTCTACGCTGCGTTTCAATCGGCACGCAATTTTCTCTGGTAGTAAAGGAAAGTAAAAAATAGCAACACACGAAAACTCAACTGCCATCCAAGTACCCCTGGAAATCTTCTCTGGAACCTCCGGATGGAGCAAGGCATATCCTTCAGATACCATAAATTTCTTGATAATCAATAAAGTTCTCAAAATCCCCTCACCTTGAGTGCTTTCTCTCTTTCACTATTTATATCTTGAGCATGTAATGTACTCAATTTTTCAGTGTGACCTGTAGCGTCAAATCTGAGTTTATCGAGATCTTTAGTTTTTTGTTTAAGTTCTGATTGCGTCTTTTCTAACATCTGGCCGAGTTCGCGTTCAGTAGATGACAGACGAGACTCCAATTTGTCTCGATGTTCCTGTAATAATATTTATAAATTCAGATAGAAAAATTGCAAGTTAGTTCCTTTAAATATAATTTTTTTCATTTAAGATCGGAAACAAACAATCAATAATTTAATAGAGCTTACGGTGGTAAAGATGTGCAACTTCAATGTAAGCCTATTGCTGAGTTGTAAACGATAAATTTCAATAAGCGATTTAAACTTCTGTTGACAAAATACAACATGCATTATAGTTTTGATACCTCTATTTGAAATATCTTTTATACTCGCAACATGGATAACTAGCGTATTTCATGAACCAAAAAATAGAAAAATATCAATAATATCAAATCCGAAACAGAATTTAAATATCACAAAAAGTAGAATCTAACAATAACCTCATGCAAACTTTTAATAGGCTATTGAATAAAATATTAATGATAAATATAAATTATTGGATTGGAGATTGGTGAACCACAAAACAATCTCACCATGGTCTTTTTTAAACATGTTGCCAGATATTTTTTCACATCAGAATCATTTCCAGGAACAAATTGTAACGACAGATGAGTTAGATGTTTGAATGGATTTGTTTCAATAACATTCAATAAACCAGATCCATTCCCTGAACCACTGAAACTAGGTTGAAACCCACAGTTTCCTGATGATTCAAACTGTTAAATCAAGATAGAAAAAAAATGAAGAGAATAATTGATATAATAAATGGGGACGAACTGAATCTCAACATTAGGTTATAGTTGGAGATCAATGATCACAACAATTTAAAACTGTAAATAAAAAATGATTCAAAAACATTTGTTTTTCCATAAAACACTTATATGATATACCCTAAAAAGAGAGTAGACAAGAAACCACCACATTTATGAAGCTTTGACGTCATCAAATTTTCAAACACAATTCTGAGCAGCATTCATTTTAGCAACACTTCAGTGCATAAACCTGGTTGTTGGTGTTTTCTACCCAACTATGCTGGTATCACAGGTTGAGAACTCAGTTTCAAATCCTCTGCTAATTACCTCACCCCCATTATAATAAATTGGGTTTCAATACTTCCCAAACACAGTAACTAACTATGTATCAATAACTGCTAGAGTCTTAATAATTAATAATGGCAAGATGTCAAAAACTTCATAAAATTATATATAAAAGCAGATGAAATTTCAGTTGGAAATTGAGCCCTAAATATAGTAAATTATATTTACCCTGAGCAAACACATCAAAAGAGGAAAATCCAGTATTACCGCTCACCTGTAATAAAAATTTTGGTGTTTCTTTATTTTCTTCAAGTCTACACTGTTGTAATAATCCAGTAAATCTTTGTGGAAAAGCACTGAAGTCCACAAGCAGTCCTTGTTGAGTTTTCAAGCTGAATATGCAAAAAAATTGCACGGTAATACAAAGTTGAAATTTCAGAACTTTGCACAACAATATAGAACTTTAATGAAGTATAGGCCTACTTGGTACTTGGTACTCAATATTTTATTTTAGGCTATTAGAACAGCAGATGCAGGAATGAATAACCATTCAGAAATTTTATGAAATCGCATAGTAGTATGACCCATAGCGATCATTTTGTATGAGATGCAAAGTTTTAGAGAGATTAAAGAACATAATACTATTGCAAAAGCAAAATTCAATATTGTATCGATTAGATCTACAGAGAACTGACAACAGATGATATGGAAGGCTATGATCGCCGATGTCTGCAACAGACCTGGCACATGAAAAAGAAGACGTTTCTATGGCATATAACTAGTCAATGGTAATTTCATTTCATATGGGAAAAATAATGATGGAATAGAAAACTTACCATCTACCAAACGCAAAAATTTACACTATTTCAAAGCATTTATACAGAGATGCTATTTGACAATCAGGATAATAAACATTACTGATTTTCCTCTAAATTATAATGAGTTTATAAATCATGAGTTTGGGGGGATTTTAAATTCCCTGGAGTCTGGGAATTGAACTTTTGAATTGAAATTAAAATTGACCAATTGTTCATAGCCATACAGATGTTTAGAACTATAGTCGAATCTTCAGTAGGGAGCCAGAAACAGTCAAAATTTGATCCGCAAAGCCGCAAGTCAGAGTAAAAAACTTTTAAAACCCAAAGTCTGAAGTCCGATTCGATTGTAAATTCCCCCCCCCCCACTTCACAGCCTTCCTTTAACATTCGGTATATTAAATTTAACTGCTTTTTCAGTGCAAAATGTAAATAAAAATTTAACTATAACATGGAGTAACAAGACCTCGACCATTCAAGTATGGGAATTCTGATTCATAACTAAGTATATAAAATAACTAATAACCTTTGGAAATCTTCTTCTCCGAGACAAAGATTGAACAAAAAGAAGGGATCGTTATCATCTGTTAATCTGACAAGTAGATCTTTCCGATGTAAAGGAGATGTCGTCGTTTGTATTTCCACTGTAATCTTGATAGATACTTGCCTGAAATTGAAAATTATCTTTTAATTAGAAGAATCTCAACGTCTCAGTGTCTGTAGCTTTAGTCATTTTACCCCTAGCTGCACTCATGGATCAAAAGCTTTCTGTTTCTGAGTGAGTTCTCGTGACCTTGCTTTAGATTGACCAAAAACCCATATCCAAACTAGATTCAGATACAGGAATTATTGAAATTTGAATGGCATTTTATGTAACAACTGCATTTATTTTAAATTGGAATAGGTAGAGCAATGCAATTCAAAATTTGTTATGCGAGTCAAGCTCCAACTTAAATATTATTAATTGTGAATAAAAAACAGAAACACCATTTCAAATACTCCTTTCTATATTGTCTGACACATTAAATCAATGTTTTCTTCTGTGCTTCCAATGTAGTGAGACTACCTAAGTCTCTCAACTATTTATTGAATTGAAAGATATGCGAAGAAGAACGATTAGAATATGCATGCTAGCTTTTATTTCATTGCAGAATTAAAATTTTAGGACTTGAAATCAGGCACAAGATTGACAAACGTTTCACAGACCCTCAGAATAAGGACGGAGATTTAATCATAAAATCAAATCAGATTTTCAGTATAAAATTCATCACAGGGTCATATTATTATAATTTAGAAGGTCAACATTTGATTTTCGAGTATTTAGGATTTTATATATAGAATAGCCTACTTGTAATACAGTGAAATGAATTTTAATTTCTTACTGGGCAAATAGAATGATTATATATATATTTTGGATGACCAATACTAGTTGAACTAACTGAGAATTGAAAATGGTATCAAGCATCTCTTCAAGGATGATATAGTTATCTCTCTAATCTCGAAATCCTACATATTTGGGTCAAATGAAATGAGTGAATATTTGGAAAGCTGATGAGGTTATAAAACATTTTCCTGGGCCTGGGCAAGAGGTAGAAGTGCCAGGCCAATTGACAGTCAGGCTATTAATAAGCCTTATAGTAGAATAATCATGTCTTTCTTGATGCAAAGTTACAATTCCTACAGTTGCTAAATTCATATATTTTTCCCACCTGTCTTCAGCATCTTGTGTTTTATATCGTACATTATGAAGTTCAGAATATAAGGTTTCTGTCATTATGTTCTAGAAAGCAGATAAAAATAATATTGTTTACAATGCTCATTCAAAATTTCATCTTTATACACTGAGAGACTTATAAGCTCATTCACAAGAAGACCAAATCAACTGTCCTGTAGGCATGATTTGTTTTTCACAAGGATTGTACGCAATTAGCAAAGACTGGTCAAAATCTCTAGTTACATATGGTATGAATGACATAACAAATCAAATTTTATGATTTTTAAAGGTTAAACTGAAATAATAATCTTAACTACTAAACCAACAAACAACTTATAGGAAGTAATATAAGCCTATGACTAGTGTAGAAATGCAGCACACATTCATAAAAAGTAAAATTAAAGATGAGGATATGGATATGGATAAATTCCATTTCGATAGAGTCTATTTTCATAGGCAAAACTAATAACAAGAGTGAGCCAAATCTAGGAATAAATTTGAATTTATATTGGATCTAATACATTAATATGTTATATAGCAAAGTTAGAAACAAACTCCTGAACTCTTACACCTGTACACCCACCACCCCGCCCAAGCAGCCAAGGCAGTACGGCACACTTTACAGATCGAGAGACAATCTCTCGTTTTAGAGAAACCTATTTTAACGGTGATCGAATATCCCTCCTTCGATGTACGTCTGGCGGATTTTGTCTCCCGATATCGATAAATTGAAGCAGCGCAGTAAACTAACAAAAAGCGCAATCTAAAACCATCATCATTGAATTCCTCGTGAAAAAATAATCAGATCTACCGATGTAAAAAAAATTTTACCGGTGCGTTCGAGAGAAATGAGCAAAAAACGATTGACGGCGTGTGACGTCACTGAATTTCAATCGACGCACGCAGGCACGCATCGGCCGTTCCTCGACGTAAACCTTGGCGTGCCGTGTTTCTCTCATTTTCAATGTAGATAGGATGGCGTGTTAACGATAATAAATGGATCAGAGATAATAAAAATTACATTTTGATAACACACAATCGATAAACAGTAAAATTAATGCCTCGATATAGCATTAGATGAATAAGTTCATAAAGCAATAATTTAATCTAATGCCGCAACGAGACATTAATATGCCGCAAAATGTGCAACTTGCGTAATTTATACAAGAATAGATCGGCGAAAAACGAGAATCAAATTAGCAAAATAACTTAATATAATGCCACATCGATGTATTCATATGCCGCAAATGTTCAGTTTGCATAATTTATACTAGTATAGATCGGTAAAAAACAAGATTCAAAATAATATAATGTCCCATCGATACATTCATATGCCGCAAATGTTTAACTTCCGAAAGTTACGGTATACGAGAATAATTTAATTCAATGCCACATCGAGGCATTCATATGCCACAAATGTTAATCTATACGAAAATAATTTAATTCATATGCCGCAAATGATCAACTTGCGTAATTTACACAATAATAGATCGGCAAGAAACAAGAATCAAATTAGCAAAATAATGTAATACATGCCGCATCGATGTATTCATATGCCGCAAATGTTCAATTTGCGTAATTTATACTAGTATAAATCGATGAAAAACAAGATTCAAACTAATATAATGCGGCATCGATACATTCATATGTCGCGAATGTTTAACTTCGAAGTATACGGAATACGAGAATATTTTAATTCAATGCCACGTCGAGGCAATCATATACCGCAAATGTTAATTTGCGTGATTTATGCAAGAATAGATAGGTGAAAAACAAGAATCAAATTAATATAATGCCGCATTGATGCATTCGTATGCCGCAAATGATCAACTTGCGTAGTCTGTGAAAAACAAGAATCAAATTGGCAAAATAGTTTAATCCAATTAATCATCGAGGCTTTTATTTTACATTTCTGGAAGTTTCAGTTCTGAATAACCGAAGATGCTATGTTAAATTGTTGTAATTACAGGTATTAACAGGCATACAAAGTTTCACTATCGATATTAATTTAACTATTGAAAAAAAAAACTTCGATATCGTGCAACGTTTTGACTTTGTTATACGACAATTCAAACGATGTCATGTAGTCACAAACACTTATAATAAAATTAGTTGGACTCGTAGACGTATTAATCGAAACGCATAATTTTGTAATCTCTTGATATTATTTAAAAGTAATTATTTTATTCACAGACGTTTGCATTTACGCGACATTATTTTAATTAGGCACTACCAACAGTAGACTGAATATAATGATTCAGAAATACATCGTATATCTAACCATATACGTCAGTATACATCGGTAAAAAACGAAAATCAAATTAGCAAAATTCGAGAGCCGTGCCGAACTGCCGATCTGTGCGTGACTTTCTTTGACGTCATATCCAGACATCTGACGTTCTCACGCATCGAGCTCGCAGACGACTCGACGCCCCCCGTTTCACAGACGCCTATTCATATTTTGGCTCTTCCGGAATGTAGACGCAAATCCGGATTCGGGATAGTGTGCCGTACTGCAAGGCAGCAAGTGATTTAAGTTTGGAAAGATTGCAATCCGGCAATCAGTCACTGGAATCTGTGATTGTTCAGTATGTACATCTTTATATAAATAAGCATGAATGAGGCATGATTGAAAGAATGAATCAAGTATTTCTTTATTTCTGTATTTTGGCTGCTTCACCTTAAAACCTAACAATTTGACAATTCTGCAATTACGGAACTATGCAACCAGCACATGGATAGAATTCACATATTTCAGTTTTTACATACAGAAGAAAGTGATATCTGCAGAAAGTGATATCAGCAGACAAAATTCAGAGTAAAATGACAAGATGAAGCCATACATTCAAGCTAGTCTAAAGCGCACTGTAACAAAACAAACTTACAAAAGTTCTACGTATTTTTTATATCTTGTCATGCCAGCATGCAGACAATGTCCAGACTGCCAGATGTTGAAACTGTTGCGTTAAATACCCTAATCTCTCGCCAGCTTACCGTACCATAGCTACACAGACACGACTCAATAAACAGATAAAGCCTATTTCATACATCTACAGAATTGTTCAAATACCTTGTGCACTGATATCTGTTTATACGAGTACTAACACGCTACTAAAAGTAGATGAAAACAATAAACCGTGTGAATACATTTATCAAACAATTCCACGTTTTGTAGAAGCCGCCAATCTATCGTCATAACGGTATTGTATGCTTCAATGATTTGAAGTCAACAATATGTTCCTCACGAGCGTCTTCTAGCGGTCACCAAAATTCCCTTTTCATACAACGGAAGGAACTTATCTGCGCCTGAATTACTTATTAATGCGGAGAACGAATGAAAAACTAATGCGCGAACGAAGAATTTTAAAAACATTGTGCAAACTTTTTGATTCATTTGGTATTATGTATGTTTTTTGAGTCTCTATTCATTCAAACTTCGATGCCCCAAAGGTGTTATATCAAACCTAATATATTGATCACGATATAATATGAACAGTAGTGTGGACTCGCCTCGATAAAGTAGGTAGTTATTGTATTGCTATACAATAACCAACTCAGCAAGATATAGACAAAAAATGAAGTCAACTTAAGCAAATACAGTGCATACAATAATGCAAAAGAAACCTATCTCATCTGCCTCACATTGTATTGAGTCAAATGGAACTACGATAATCATATATGAATGAAAACGTTTGAAAGTTCATTTCATTTTGAACAGAACGGTGGTAATATCCTAGCATCTAAATAAATGTTGCTACTCTTATGAAAAACTAGTCGGTGTATTCTGTGATAGCAGGGATAGACGATAGACGATGATTGGTTTGTCACAAACGCGACAGCAGCAATGGCAGACAATACGTATCGGTCGGGATTATACTAGAAATATACCAATCAGCAGTTTATTAAGTGAAATGTCTTTGTATCGACTAAATTTTACGTAAGTGTACAATTATTTTCTCCGTATAGACAAGGACCTATTCATTATCACTAAGCAGGTGTTGTGTATCACTCATCAAAACGTAATTGTAAACACCGAATGAAACTTAATACGCCTTCCATCATTGTTTTACACTGAGGCTAAATTAAATCATCGATTTATATAGTTCCCATACGCATAGTCGGACTGGGATAACAATCGCGTGGTCTGGTATGATATCAAGTTAGATATGTTTAGTGTAAATATGTTGTTCTCAATATATAAGTATACTTGAAATCAAATCGTGTGGAATATTTAGAGAGATTGAGAGGTTTTCTGTCGCGTGTCGTGTTGTATTGCTTGGATGATAATAAATTACAGAGCCATTTATATTTCATGATGGTTTTTATTGGTTCATGGGTTTTAAATGATGTATTGCGCATGTTATTCTTTCTGGGATGTTACTCAATTTGAGTTTTGCGTTATTTCAGCAAGATATCTTCAAAAAATGTAGTTTTGATGAAATAGGACAGAGATGCAAATGTTTTTCGAGCATCACCGTTTTGAAAATTTATTTTTTTGCATCTATTTGCATCCATTTTTGTTTTGAATTACTTATCTCAATTTAGCTGACAATCTTTTTAGAATTCTTGTATACGTATTAATTCAGTGGCGTTCCTTATTTGGATCGAATTTCTTGTTATGGTGATGCGGGTGCTAGAAAGGTAGCCTATTCATTAGGCAATGTATAAAACTGTCAAAAGTTATATTTATTGAAGTAATGCCCTTTGATTTGTTTAATTTCTAAGTAATTCAAAAGTTCTCAGACATATAGATAAAAATATATATAAGTCTAGTATGTATATATGATGTTTACATCAAGTTTATGCTTGTATTTGGATGGAGAGCGTAAGATGGTAATTGCTTCCTTACTTTTAGAATATATTCAATGTTTCTATAATTGAATGCGTGGCGAAATCGAAGGCGGTTTCAAGTGTATGAATTAATAAAAACGATTGAAAAGCTCATTCGCTCTGGAAATACTTTGAAATTATTCGTTCATAGAGTTAGCACGGAATACGAAAAATCATGAACTGTCTGAATCAGGCAATATCGGAGGAAAGAATTCATCAGGTATGAAATAGGGAAATCGACGTTCTGGTAGCAATCAGATTAAAATGTTTCAAAACTTCCGATACGTTGCCTTTGAGGTAAACAAATCGGCATGATTTGATGAGTTATGTTCATACGATTTTATTTTGCACGCAGCGTATTCGGTACTTCGTGGCATAGATGCTCTTGATGACTCTGAAAGTTCTGAGTGAAGTCTATTAAAACTGTAAAAAGAATAAAATTTATTCGGTTTTAGTTAAATCTTGCGTTGATGAAACACCAATCAGTTTGCTTTTAATATGATTTTGGTGCATTTTACAGCAAGAAGTGTGGAAAGCGAGTAATTATTCACCATAAGTTTGCCAGGAAAATAAAGTATTTCTGAAGTACCGATACCTACATATTTATTTATTAAAAAAGAATACGATTGGATTACATCGTTGATAAGAGTTTTAATCGAACCAGGCATCGGTAACGAAGTTACAAAAATCTAAACCTATTTGTCATTAAACATAGTCGGATACGTTGTCGTTGCATGCATGCAATTTGAACTATATTAACCCAAACATAAAACTCGAATTGGTATTGAACATTTTTTAATATATTCAGGTCCGACTTCTTTTATCTATGGGTGTAGATAACGAAATGAAAGATAAGAATGATTTCGAACGAACTCCGTTGATTAAAAGTTGCTTGGTGAATCACCAGGAAGCGTCATTGAGACTGTTAAAGGTATATATATTGATATTTCATAAAAAATACGGCCGATGTTATCTGAAAGTGCGCAAACGCGAGTTGAGTATACTATTTTAACATTTCACAAGGAAGAGGATAAAAACAGCAATAAAGCTAAATGGAAAATTGTCCGAATGAACAGACTTGGTCATATGAGTTTCTAGCTTTACAAGAATTATTGAATTACGAAGTAGACCTGGGTAGATCATCTACCAAATTATTGTTGTCCTCGTTGGGGATTCAGAGTTGTTGTCATTGTTGTGAAAAATCTTTTTCTGTGTAACTAACGGATCTTTCGATTTGAAATTCGCTAGAATGATATCAATTTAATTTTTTTAATTTTTATCTGGTCCCAAAAGGCTGCTGTATTTAACAACGCGGCAACGTAGTCATTCGATCTTTGTGTCCATTGTATAATGGATGTTCGTTTTGATCTTTTCAAACGCAAAAAGGATTTATTTACATCAATGATACGCCTATCTTTTATCGTTTTAACACTCTTTTTTAAGAGTTATATGAGCTTGAAAATATATCTGTCATTTAGATTCTACTGAAATTTGGAGTTACAATAAATGCTGTTGATATACTCGGGAAAAGTGCGTTGCATTATGCATGTGAGACAGGAAAAGCAGAAGTTGCCAAAGTACTCATGAATGAGGACGGAATTGAACTGAACACCCAGGACAATAAAGGTTGAAATTTCTGCGTGAATTACCGAAATAGAACGCACCAGTTATAGGATAGAAATTTCATATTTATATAAGTGGAGAAGAAAACCGACAAGACGACTTAATCACGTTGCATTTTCCTATCTGTTACTGGCACCATTAAACGATACAACACTATTTCAAAATTAGTAAAATGTTATGACATTTTACTATAAGTTTCATGTATGTTATCGTTCCCAAAACGTTGAATAAATTGCAAACTGCCGAAATAGACTGCTGAAACATCAGTAGGTTTATTTTATTTTCTATAACATTAATTCCCTGGTTAGAGCATTACCTATTACTACGGTAAATAAATTGTAATTTAGCAAATATTCCGATTGTGAGTTCGAGATAGTTATTTTTCGGTGGCAATACACTGATTTTTGCTAGTAAATACTTTCAGCTTCTTTTGTGTTAAATAATAATAAACATTGCTTTTTATTCTAGGACAAACACCTTTAATGTTGGCATGTGCGGAAGGACATCTGGTTATGGCACGAATTTTGATGGGAAAACTTGTCAAATTCGACCTTGAAATTGACCTCAGAGATAGCCAAGGTTACACTGCGTTGCTAATGGCAATCAAAAACGAACATTATGACGTTAGCCATGATCTTGTCAGGTGAGATAATAAACCTTGAAGCGCGAGATTGATACAGCAAGTCTGTCAGAAATAAAAGAAAATAACTAAATATATAGTTATTCATATTTTGTTTAATTTAGACCATTCTAAGTATATTTGAGTTTTTTACTAATCTCGATCTCTCCGAAAGCAAGGTGGCAAGATTTTAAATAAACGAATAGGTTGAAAAATCGTGAATACCCAATATAATTCTTAGGGTTTCACATATCTTTTTAGCCAACATCAAGATGTAATTACGCTAGTCAATGTTATTTTGACCATCCAGTAAAAGGTAATATACTAAATAAAAATGTGTATAAAGTGAACACACAATTTTACGGGGGAAGGGAAGCCGCTGGAACTATAGCTGGTTATCAAGCAGTGATATAGCGAATGAATGGAAACTTAAAAAATATTCGTTTTTGGCAATGATTTTTTAATTACGAATGAATATAATAAACATTAAAAATTGTGGTAACTAGAAAATTACATATTTGTAGAACAACGATTTTCATTATGCGATCGAAGCAGGTATCACTGTTAAAACGTTTCAAATAATCGGTTCCAAAGTATAATATTGGGAAAGCCAATACCAAAACGTTTGAAAATATTGTAATATTATTTTTTATCAGATACGCTAATGCTTGCATCACGCTTCGAGACAACGAGAAATTTATGAATGCGGCTGAATGGCTGAAATCAAATTTAGAGGAACGACGAAAAACAAAGCAAACCACACATGAAGGAGATAAAGCAAGGAAAAAAAGACACGAAATGAAATCTCCGACAAAGTCTGATAAAGATAAAGAGAACATTGAACAACAGGCAGATGATGTACCGGTGTTGGTTTTAACTGAATCTCAGGAACAACCTTTAACTGATGAGTGAGTCTGTAATATCTAAAGCAGCAGATCCCAACCGGTGGCTGTGGCCAATCCAGGGGGTCACAGATTAGTTGGAGGGGGGCCACAATGCCAGACCCAAAACTGTTTTTGCTTTTCCATTCACAGGAAAACATTGTTTGATAAGGGTGTTTCACGGGGTGTATTCACCTTGTTGAGCATGAATTGTTCAAACATAACGGGATTAAAATCTACCAATCATAATAACACTCTAAATACCACTGGAGTGATAAACACGGGTGTCGTGGATGCTAAAAGCCTCCGGGAGGAGGCCACAAGCCATAAAAGGGTGGGAATCAATGATTTAATCTAAAGTAATGAATATATTTGCAAACATTATTCAAGGCTGCATTGTCAACAATCTCCCATCTCAGGTTGCCAATAGTTTGTTCGGTGTTTATATTACCTCGGAATGCAGATATGAACAGACACTCATTTATAGGCATTGTGCTATGTTTTGAAAGCGTCGGGATCTTTGCGATGCGACATTGTTCATTCTCAATTCATTATACCCCAGTGAAATGTTTGGTATGAGGTTTGCAGCCAAGATTATAACCTGCGACCTTAAGGTAGTTAGTAAGCTTATAAAAAATTATTATTTATTCAATCAACTACACCAATAATAAATACCTAATCATAATCATCGACAAATCACAATATTAACATATAAACAGGGATGGCCAATACCGAATAGTTCACTGTTTCGAATACATTCGAAATTATTATTTTCGAATATGAAATTTCGAATACTTCGAAATTAAAATCCAGTAATAGAATCTAATTGTATGAAGGAATTTTCATACAATAAACAATGGAATAACTTCTATCTACAACCTGGCTATATTACCAGGCATTTCATGTTTGCAGATTATTGCGATATATATTTTATATAACATGAGTTGTGTTAATTAACAGAATTAAAATAATACGACAAGGCATTTTAAATAGTGGTATCGGTGATGGATTTGAATGCTTGCGCAACACAAAATCATCCTAGTAAAACGCCCATACTTTTAAATACCAACCATTATCCAAATTATTTGTCAAAAAGCGGGATAAAGTATGAGTTCTTTTTCAGACTTGTGACAATTTTTTCGTGAGTACAAAAATACGAATCAAAAAGTAATTATATTCGGGAACTTTACCACACATTTTAAGTCCGCAGATCGCCGTTGTATGTTTGTGTAATAATACTTTTATTATTTTATAAATACGAAAATATTTATAATCGGGTAGTTTACCACACATTCAATGTCCACAGATCACCGTTGTATTTTGTAAATACGAAAATAGGAATCAAAAATTAATATCAATCGCGAGTTTGCCTCACAATTTATGTCCACAGAATGCCGTGATATTGTGCCCGAATATAATTAATTTTTGATTCTTATTTTCGTACTCACGAAAAAATTGTCACAAGTCGGAAAAATAATTTATACTTTATTACACATTCAAGTCCACAAATCGCCGTTGTATTTTTGAGTTATAATAGTTTTAATATTTTGTAAATACGAATCCGAAATTAATTATAATTGGGCAGTTTACCACACATTTCATGCCCACAAATACCCGTGGTATTTGGTATTAATACTTTCATTATCGATACTTTTGACCATCATTATCAAAATTATTTGCCAGAAAGCGGGTGAAAGTATTTTTCTAATAAATCAACTTGTTTCCCAACTTGTGACAATTTATTGGATATCGTAACAATTACGGCTATAAATACCGTATTTCCCGGCTAATAAGTCTACATGGCAAATAGGACGATGTATATTTTTAGCACTCAAAAAAGGGGGTTTTCCATATAGGCCTCCAAGAAGACGGGTAGAAAAATTGTTCCCTGTTGTTCAGTTATGCTAATATGCGCTAATAATAATGTTTAGAACCAGATCACGTTTGTTTAGTAGAATCATACTCACAGAATTAACTATTTTTAACAATAAAGCGGTAATTTTAAGTTAAAAATCACAATCATTTTGAACAATCTATAATTTTATAGGGTCAGAACAGAACCAGATCATGTTTGTTTGGTAGAACCATACTCACGGAATTAACTATTCTCAACAACGAAGCGGTAAATTTAAATTATAAAGCGGCAATCATTTTGGACAACCTATCAACCCGAATGTTGAAATAATTTTGGAATGTGATAAGTACCACACGGTACGTCCACGGGTTATTTCACAGCTGTGTTTCATGTCCCTGTCGTTTTCTGCTGAATCGGCAAAACCAAAGGGTCATAAATCACTTACTTTATCTCGGTGGCGGTGGCCGTGTTTTCTCTTTTAAGTAACGATAACCGGCCTACGATTAAATATCATGATTGGCAGACCCATAAGAACCAAATATAAGGTTAACACAAATTATGCTTGAGAAGACTAATGCGAAAAATAAGCAGGCCACATAGTAATAAAATAAACATGCTTTCTCAATAAGGCGCCCCTCCCCACTTGGGTCTAGAAAAGCGACTTATTAGCGGGAAATACGGCTAATGGAAATGATTTTGTGAATTAAAAGACGAATGTCGGCAATGTCCACCAACGCAAACGTGCAAATGTGTCGCAACACTATGCGACGTACATTCGCGCTGAATATAAACAATCAAAATGCCCACTCTATTTCATCGTCATTACAATACGCGAGAAAGCGTAAAAAGTCGTTTGAAGATTCCGGTAAAACGAAACACCGTGTTTACGGCGAAAAGTGACTACTATTCGTAATTATTCAAATGAGCCGAAAAGGTATTCGAATACTTTGATATTCGAATAATTTCGAATATTCGATTCGTTTTGGACAACCCTGCATATAAACATTTTTCTTCAAGAAAAAAAAATATATACTAAGAGCTAGATATGGGCTTTTGTAGGCTACATTTTTAGCTTTATAATAACAATAGACAATAAGTTTATTTCGTCATGCAAGAAATCATAAATAATTCATATTCATATTTGAGCTCACAAGTGCTTCCAAATACCTCATGCCTGTATAAATGCCAGATAAGCAATTCATGGATATGGCAGCTACTTACTAGGTACGGCACTTTTCCGAACAAGAGTTGATCCCATACCCAACTGTGGATTTAAGTCGGATATATTTAACCGTGAATGTCACTATATGTAGCTTGCTAGCTATCACTGTTCGTGATGTTGATCAAATCCTGGCGTGCTCGCCATTATCACGGTTCGTGATGTTGCTACCGTGTGTGTTGAATCAGAAGACTCATTTTCCGGATTGGTGGTTTATTATGAGGCAACTTCACAGTTAAAACAGCACAAAACAGAGAACACAGGAAAACACGTCCGCCCGCCAGCGCGGCAGCCGGAAAAGAGGCGGGAAGCTCTATTTTCTCACGACTCGATGGTGATCGGAGTCCCACAGCAACCGGACCCGGATGAAGTATATCCAAACCAAGGGTCCTCAAAAAGCATATAGGCAAATACAAAAAGACAAACTAAATTAAAACACACGGATAATAAAATCTGTGACACTAGCCCAACGAACACATAAATTGCTGGCAAGCGTTATACCAGTGGTGTCCAAGGTTTTTTAACCAGGGGCCAAAAATTTTGCCCACCTAGACCGGCGGGCCATGTAAGTGTGACGTAAAAGTTACATTTTATGAACAATATTTAAATTGATACAAAAGAAAAAGTGGGAAACAATAAGCCAAATTAAATTTAATTGCAATCCTAACAAATTCCTTGAGCTAATATTTAGCTAAAACATCAAAATTGGGTTTGATTGTGGCAACATCGGGCGGGCCAGATTGAAGTACCAAACGACCGTACTTTGCCCATGTCAGCGTTATACCGTCAAAATGAATAGAAATATCGAGTATTATATATATATGTACAAGGCAATTCTCTTTTTAGGTACGAAAATGGCTTGGAAGGACAAGGTGATCCGGGTACAGCTACATCATTAGCTTCTATGTCTGGACTTCTTTTTGAACCAGATCCATACGGAAGCTTTATTAGACCTCCTTCTTCAGGAGGACAAAGTGTCAGCAAACGAGCCTCAACTGCAGGTAGTTTTAGACGATCTTCTCCCGCTGGTGGAAGAATGTCACGACCCCAAACTGGGGCATCGGTTGCGAGTTCTAGCAAATCTCAAAGGTTTTCAGCTTCCAGTAGAAGGAAAATGACAAAAATGGTGAGTGTTGAATTGTTTAGTGCATTTGATTCAAAACACTGCTCTTCAAAAGTAAATAAGTTAAAAGTGGTTTTGCTTCGTAAAAAATTGACAGATCTGTATACTTACCTGTATATGAAAGTAGCCAACGTATCACATACCCAACTTCATGTTAGGGTTAGGCCATATTTTTTATTCCATTTTATTTTATTTTAGTTCTATTACGAGTTCGGGGACTAGCTAAGTGACTTCCGTAGTATTTGTACCTGAAATTATGGCCTAACGCAAACCTGGTACACGTACTACGTTCCGGTGTCCGCTATCTTGGTTCACATACTACGGGAGTACACAACGTACTGACCACAAGGTAATCCCCGAAAATTGAAGTTGGGTATGTGATACGTTAGATGTAATTGTTACAATCTATATTATTTTTCCTTTTTTTAATGTGTCAGGAACATCTCGAAGAAGAATCCACTCTGACAACACCTTCTGCTACGCCGGTACTAAATCCTACAGTCGAAACACTAAAGCGAGAAGCTGGAGCAGAAAGTGCCATCAGTTTTACCACGTCACGAAATAGTCGAAGGTCGTTCAAAATGGATGACTTGGAATCGATAATAGAGGATCCGAATTCGAGACAACCGTCGCGAGATGGCGGCAGAGAGTCGGCTTTGCGCACCCAAAGTCAACAAGAAACAGCTGATCGGTCACCTGGATCCTTCCGTAGTCGCTCGCCATACAACCAAGCTGGTAGGAAATCGAGAAGCGATTATAACGAAGAGAAATCGTCAGAAATTTACGCAATTCAAAAACTAAAACAAGCCTTAAGAGATAAAACTAGACGAAAGATTACACGCGCCAGCACTGCTGTTTTTAGACCAGCTTCTGGTACACCAAGTGAACAATGGATGTCCAACATTATTAAAGGAGGTAAACGTGGTCCCGTGCCTACTAAAAGTGCTTACGTCGCTCCTAAGAGCCCAGATCCAACCAAATCTCCAACTCAGACACGGAAACAATCAATTCGCAGCATGACTGCTGATACAAGTTCGGTAGTTTCAGGAGACGTATCCCGAAAATTGTCGGTAAGTAAACGAATATTCCGCGGAGCCTCAGATTTTTCCCACGGGCCATTAGGGCTCCGCACACTTTGAGAACCTATGAACTAGAGCAGGGTGGTCCAAGATTGGCAGCTCCGCGGGCCACAAAATTACTTTTGCATTGTTCGCGGGCCACAATAGTGCTCGTTTAACTTCGCTAGTTGCCTCAGCAAGCCATAACACTAGTCAATTCAGTGACATTAGGGATGCAACAATATGTCAGAAGATTTTTTGGTATATTTTATGACGAAACAACACGGAATGCGATTTTTTAATTCCTCTCCGGATGTGACGCGGGCCACAGATAATGAAGCGGCGGGCCACATGTGGCCCGCGGGCCTGGGTTTGGACCACCCTGAACTAGAGTCTAGCTACTAGAGAACAAATTTTAAACACATTCAATAGGCTACTCAAAGGCTAGACAAAAGTTGTTATCGTCCAAATATATCGTGATAATAACTTTTAAAATATATGGAGTCAGAACTAATCAATACTTTGGCTTCTTCCGAAGGATCAATTTGTTTTCCAGTACAAAATTCGATAAAATCAACAAGATCACAATTTCAAGTATGAAATTGTTGGTCTTAATTTAACACTTTTGAATCTTTATGGGGTGCTAGTAATGTGCAAATCAGAAGTGAACAAAACACTACGATGCGCAGCTTCGATTATTCTTTGAATATATATGCTAAATTTATTAACGAACGCAAACTATCTTTTTAACTATTTTTCTCATAGATGACCCAGTTCAGAGATACAAGTCCAGCCATGCGACTCCTGCATGCAGCATCAAATCTATCTCTTGATACATTAATTTCACAATCTGACGTCACATTGTCTACGTCATACTATCCTGAAAGTGTAAAGTCTAGGTTAGTATTTTTACTATTTATTTCTTCGTTCAAATAAACACGATCAATTTGAGTGAGTGAATAATGTTTAAAATGAAAAATAAATTTTTTGGAATTTTAATGTTATGATTCATTCGGAACTACTTATCAACAGTTATTAGATTAGATTATCAAATTGAATCTATTCAATGAATCGAATTCTCCCAACACTAGCAAGTGAAACGTAAGTTAAATCCGTGTACCTATGATTCAATTGAAGCACGTATAATACACACCAGACGTTATACTCGTGATGGGTACAAGGCAAGTGGTGCGCCCTGCCCTGTTTGCACTCCCGGTCATTGGGATCCGATTTCAGTCGGGCGTATACCTTCTTCCAATTACATCAGATTTTTTGTGACTGCTTGTATAATAAATAATAATAGAAGAAACATTTACCACTGAATGTGTCTGAAAATATCGTGCCCACTTGTCTAAAACTGTAACACTGACTTCAAAAAAGTGCAGTAACCCTTGATCGTACTTCGTTACCCATGAAATTAATTTCAAATACTAGCGAAAGCCTAAACCTCTGACAGCATTAGCATTATTAGTAACAACTGATTCCTACCAACCGACTCCGTTACTTAAGAATTTACTGTTGTTTCAGAAAATCGAAAAATTCCAGTCAGCTTCAGACAATATTTCGTCTTTATACTGATAGTTGCTTGTGGAAACCTCCGACAAGGAAACCAGCGTCGCTTTCCGTTCAAGTAAAAAATCGTTTTTTATCTTTAAGTATTAAGAATATAGTTTGCGACATTACGATTCGGGATTATATTTAAATTGTACATTAGAGTGTATGTTGTTTGCTCTTAAGTAAATATAAACGACAAAAACGTTCTAATACAGAGCACTAGAGCAGTAATTCGGGGTCGCGCTCTTTGAGGTCCCATACATATTTGGGACTGAAGTATTGAGAAACCTGTTTAATACATCTCTTACTTTACACATTTGAGGACGCTCTTTTAATTTGCATACTCTAATGAGACGATAAGGATTCTTCAATGTCATCACGTCCAAAAACGTCTATTCAGTATATGCACTGTGAATGCATATAAATATAATGGTCTTTTCATGGATTTTCATTTGGCTCCTCACGAGCTGCAGCCAATTTATTAGTGTAGTAAAATATATTCAAATAATATTCTCGCTGACTAAACCTTTAATCAGCAGTTTTTGAACTTGTCTTTCAAGCACGTCTTTTACACATTTCAGATCAACTCGGACAACAGTGAAAAGCTGACTCTCCAATCTGAAATGTCAGATTCTATCAATGAGTTTGGAAGCACAGGTGGCGATCGCAACGAAACTGCAACCACAAGTTCAGTACCTCAGAGAGTGCGACCAGAGTCTAAAACTGGCGCAAGAAACAGACTTATAAGCAGCAGTGCAACGTCAAGGGTGTCACGAGGCAGCAGAAATGCCGGATCCGCAGGAGGGCGCAGCGTTGCGTCACGACAGGCCGATTGAAAACTTACCATTTGGTTCCATATAACATGTCTTGCATGGTGAATACAGTTAATAATTTAATATAGAGGATAGGCCAAAAATAGGTTAACAGTTATTAAACCAATAACTGTGGATAACTGTTATCCTACTTTTGGCATAGTATATATTTAGTATACTTTTGCCAATCAAAAAACATCAGCATTTATGTTGCTCGTCACGGATTGTATTACAGGGTGTATATAAGGTCCAGTTACAATCAAGTTTGTTTTAATGTCGATTCTTAATATATCAATTTTCAATATAACTAGGTTTGTTTTATTTCAAACAATGTTTATTTAAGTTTTGACTCCACTTTAATACAATACACATATATATTCCCGCATCAGTCCTTTGCCTTGTTTATTGTAATGTGCTGTGGGAAAAAGTCTCTTTCACAATGTAAAATTAGGTTCTGAATACTAATATGTGGCTTCAATGATGAAGATATTATAATATATGAAAATATAGCCCAGTTGAAACTTAATTTACAAAATTTTAATTCATGTAATTTACGTTTGTTATTTTCAAAATATATTTTAGGAATTTGTTAATACGTCAGTTGTGTACAGATTCTAACTAATGTGCTGAGGTATCAAATCTATCTTAATTGCCAACTCAAAACATATCATCAAATCTTATTTACCATTCAATGTGAATTATAATATTATCAGTAGTTAAAATTCCAACAGTTATTTCATGGCCAGGGTTGTGATATCGTAGTTTAGCATGTTTCATTCGAGTTGTTATTTTATTTTTAAACTCGGTGGAGTAAGGAATCGGAATCAAAAGTTTGATTTTGAAAGTCGAAGTGGGAAATGCAAAATCTGGAGCAGATTCAATCTCGCTTTCGTGAGATATCGCGTGCATCCAACAGGCAGACAGACAAACAAACATACAGACACATACCTATCAACATACTTACCGATTAAAATCGATAAGTTATAAGGCGCAGGTATCCATAACTTAAAAACGAACTTCTCTATTCATAAATTGTGGTTGCTGGAAATTCCCCTTCATTATTTTGGAGTTCGTCGAATATGTGCTGGATTGAGCTCAGGTTTCTAAGTGTATATGTGGCGTCGTCTGCGAATCAGCTAAGACAAGCGCGAAATCTACTCCCGAATTTGATGCTGGCGAACCAAGTATTGCGATATTGTATAAATCAAAAGAGCAAAAGCGGTCTACTCGGGAGCATCAAATATATAAAAATCGAATTAGTCGGATGTCCGCTTCCGTGCTTGAGACTGATTCAGATATTTACCTTGGAGAGAAGTGAGAAGACAGAATTCGTTTTGATAGATTTTGTATGGACCAACAGGAATAGCTGGAAAAGACAATTAAACCCAATCAACAAAACAAAACACTTAAAATAGAATAAAGTATAATATAAGTAAGATATTATATTAGACATTCAAAAAATTACATCTATGTTAGTTATGAACGCAGTTGACACAATCTACGAAAACGCTCCTGTTTTAGCCGAGATGGTTGAAGATAAACGAGGTGCGTCAACAACAATGCATGTAATGCGGTTGATGAAGCAAACATGCGCTTTGTTTTTATTTTTTCGAAATATGATGTGCGGGGGAAAACAAACACATTCAACGTTACAAGAACAACATCTTCGCATGCCTACTATTTTATCAAAAAGATTTTTGATCGCTACCTCAGAGTCTAGATATGTACAAACTACGGCCCGCGGGCCAAATCCGACCCGTTGGGTAATTCAATCTGCCCCACTTGATGCTGCCTCAATCAAACTAAAACCAAATCTTGATGTTTTAGCTGAAAAATAGCTCAAGGAATTTGTTGAGATTGCGATTAAAATTAGGTTTGGCACGAGGTTTATTTTTTCTACTTTTGCTTTGTAACACTTCGAGTATTGTTCATAAAATGTAATTTTATACGTTACACTCACATGGCCCGCCATATAGGTGGCGAATTGGTATAGCTAGAGTATAATCGGTAACTCGAATTATCTGAGTCGATTTCTTACGTAACATAACAGCAGTGGGTTTCTGTCACTAATATTAAATTTTCTAAACATTATTGAAGAATATTTTTTGCGAGTAATAAATTTGGTTTATATACATTTATAGTGTATACAAGTTAAGACAATAAAATACATTTGAACTATTGCAGAGGGATTCCGTGGGCCTAGGGAGTGTTCCATGGGGTTCCGCTCCAACAATAAGGTTGAAAAATACTGATAGTATCTATTACACAATCTATATACTTTTATGTTTTATTGCGCCTTTCAAATCTGCGCGCATGACTCTCGATTTACATATTGCATTTTAGGTTGCTTCTTATGCTATATAATATTAATAAATATATTCTTATATCTTTTATACATTGCCACAATAAACTCATAATCAAATGTAAATGTATGTTACTTGGGTATTTACCATCAGTCTGAATCAACGTTGTAGGTGTCGCCACTTGAAGGCCTTTCGAGGTCTATCGCGATTCTTTGTCGCACAATCTTTTTTCTAATATTTGCAATATTTCAATGAACTCTTAATATTGTGTTTTCTAATTTTTTTTTTTTTCGCATGAACTGGTTATCGCACAGGAGCACTACATACATACCATGTTGATTATCATCATTATGTAAAACAAAACATATCAATTTAATTAAACCTGATGAAAGAAGAAAAGTCCGTTTTGCCGACGGATATAGAAATAGATTGGTTAGGACTTAATACTGCTATAGACTTATCTGGAATTTCGCAAAACAGTTCAAGTTTAATTAAGTTTCGACATGACACCAGCTTTGTCATATATCAATACATCATTTCTCATATTGTTCATGTTCCAATCAAGTGTTAGCTATACCTTTTTATAAATCTCTTCAGCGTTTGGAATATTCATCCGTAGTTCAAGTTTGACAAACCATAAAGTGAGTCGTCCTATTTCTGTTTCGTTGCGATTCGCTTCACGGGATTTGCAAGTGCAAATCGGCTGGTTCAGATCGCCGACGCCAGTTCTTCGCGCGCATTCATCGCTTGGCGTCGGCAATTTTGGACCACCCATGCTCATACCGCGGAAGAATGAGAGAGTAGAAAAAAAGGAGGAAATTTTTGTCCTGACAAACTGAGTGATTCATAGGCAAGACGTATTCAGTAGCGTTTCACGGTTTTCAGTGTTTTTTATTTGTTACCTGGCGAAAAAAATTCGTCCGATTTAAGCGACGAAAAAATGTTCATAAAGGATCAATGACTCATTGGTTATTTTATGAAAATATAGCGGTTGTGAAACTTCAGTTGTCGACGTGTGTGGCCTATCAATCCATGACGCTCAATTTAAGATTTGATGTAAAGTAAGCTCAAAACAAAGTTAGAGTTATGAAAGATATTTTTACGAACTGTGAAAATTTTCATAACGTATTTCGTCCAGAAAAGTTGGCAAATGTGGGTGGGCTATGCTTCTAGTATTTCACCAATTTATGAATTCACACTTAAGAATCTTTTTGTGTACGTAAATGAAGAAATGTATGACTAAGTGTGGCGCTATTTTTGTTTATTTGTTAAGAAGGATGGGACTGAAGTGTTTATTTATTTGGTGAAACTACTGGCGCATATCCCATTGTATGGCGCCAAAATGGAATGAAAAGACTGACTAAATTGCCCTAATCTTTGGGATATTTGTCGGAATTGTAACCACCCAGGGTATAATTTTATTTGGTCCATTCATCTGAAAATGACAGCGGAGACGCGAAGCGTACCGCGGCTATCATCATTCGTTATACTAATCCCTTTGGTATAAAGAAACAATATAATATTTCCTTGTCTTCGCTATCTCTCGCGTTGTTAGTTTCTTATTATAAGACCTTACGGGTTTGTTTCCACGCCTCGGCGACGTTCGGCAGCGGAAAACCGGGTGGCCGTCGATCGGAGCGATCTTTTTTGTGCGTGTTTTGCTTTTTTTATCGCTCTCGCGTTTTGGCATATCTTTACACGCTGTGTCATAGTAGCCGTAAAAGCAGGCATTCGATACATAAGATTGCTGATAGCACTTAGCTCGAAGGCACGGTAGCTTTGGTAACGCGTATACGCTTCGCTGTAATATGGATACAGTAACGTTTATAAGTGTTAGGATCCTAAGCTTAGGCAGTAAAAGTTTCTGTGTTGGTGTTATTGAGATGGATACTTTGTGTATGATAAAGGGATAGTATATGGAAGAAACACCATCAATAGACAAGGTAATAGCAGGTTCAGATAATACAAATAAACTCGGAATACGATGTTTATTTGTTTACGAGGTCAAGCGGATGTTTAGGTGATTCACTAAAGACAGGTGCCCACCAGTTATTTGTCAGTCAAGTCAAAATTTCAGTTTTTTTTATATTCGACATGTTGATATCAAGTTAGGAATTATGGCGGGATTTCTGTGTTCGGATTTGTGTTTCGGGCCAAGTCTACTATGAGTGACTCTGAGAAAACTTGCTATGGACATATTACTGGTCCTCATATGAACATATATTGTAAAGTAACGACGGTTCGTTTGCTTGGAAAACTGATTAATCTTATTGGTATCAACTGTTCATACAACATTCAAATATTAAATGTCTTTGGCTGAATCTCGACTGTTTCCATATTTGTTATTGTATACAAATGAGGTATGCCCCCATCCTCATTTTAGATATATAGTTGAGTGCGCCACAAAAATCACCTCGCCAGAACAGAAATTTAAAATTCAGACATCATGACAAACGTTCTGCATGAGAGTTGAAGGCCTAGGCTTATAATATTACAGAAATGATCTCATTTTGCGATGTAGAGTATTGAATACCAACTCCGTTTTGTATCTGACATGCTGTTATCAACTAAAATTCGACACGGTCCGGCGCGCGGAACCGCGAAATAGTTTTTATCGTTCGTTCCATCTTATTGCCTTGTCAAACTCGACGAGTTCTTAATAGAAACGAAGCCGTCTTTTTGGTGTCAATTTTACATCCAAAGCGAGCTGGGTGTTCTATGAATACCGTCGGAATAATTTTTAACGCCAAACAAAATTCCAAAATTTACGACGCCGAAAACTCCGATGTCACAAATCGCGGACTGAATATTTGTGAATCGACCATTTCGTTCACACACTGGGTTAAACGCTCAATTTTCCGCTTCAAAATATAACCCGTATCGTTTTAAATGTTTTTCCTTCGAGAATACCTTTACATTACACTCAATGAAATTCGAAATTTTAGCCTAATTTCAGACATATATTCTTCGGGTTAAAAATATACGTGTCGCAGTCCCTTTTGTTCAATAGTACCGATGTAACGATGAAATAAATGTTCTTTTCGGCCACGAAATTTCGATTCTTATGCCATTGTGTTGAAATACAGGATGAAGGAAACCTTTTCGGTACTCCCTTTATTTCAACTATCTTCCGGTATGTTAATAACTATTACTGACAAAATACGCTTACTCGAAAAATGTAGTCTTCTTATTTATGTATGGATTTAATTATAGATGTTCTCTTTGTGTGGCGTTGTATGCTCGATTGTTGACCTGGCCTTTCAAATGTGTATTTTAATTAAAGCGAGTCAGCTACAGTTTAAGTCAGCACTATTTGTGATTTATATAACACAATGAACCCTAAATCACACAGATATCAGTTTTACATCTGAATGAAAACTCGTAATTAGCGAAATGAGAACGTAATGTCTGTGTCGAAACATTAATGTCTCAAAACCTAATCGTTGTAGGTGAATTCCACGAGCCGACGTGAAATATTCGTTTATTTAGATAATTTGCCGCCATTTTGAAGCAAAAACATGCATCATCAGTGTTGGTTCATCGCGTTTGTTTCAAGCAATTGACGTAGCAACATAGCGCAGTAATAATAAAATAAAATAGTAAGATAAATTGTATTAGGCAGGTTAGCTGTGGTTCTTCAGATTTTGATTTCATTTCATAAATTAGGCAAATACCCGCAAAATTTAACCACTTTTTGCTTCGCTATCAAGGGACAAATATTACAATACAACTAACTACAAATGTGAGGTGTTTGGTTATGGTATATATTGTGTTTTATGTTAGATTTCCAAATGGAATATCTTGATACCATCTAGTGTTGGCTGATTTGATCGAGGGTCTCACTTGTAGAAATCCTTCGTCACAGCGAAAGTTCGATAAAAACAAAAAGCGATCACAGTCAGAGCAAATTTTGGTCTCGTTATACATCCCACATTGAATTGTATCAGGCTGCAAATTTACAAAAATGAATTTGTTTTAGGTCATTTTCCGTCAAATTTAAGCGTTATCCGACGAATTTTCCTATGATCGAGCTAATGAGACCTGAGGCAAGAGAACTGACAAACTTGGAACTTATTGTTATCATAACAATCTTTTATTTAGTTATTGCTTTGACAAAAATGGCAGCTTGCTACAAAGTCTTATCAGATTTCTAAGAAGAAATTTAAGTTGAAATATTTGTGTACTCATTCATGCACAATCGGAATTGAACCATCCTTGAATTGCGTTGCTGAGATGCGGTTTATCATTGGAACATACTTATTCAGACTAATTAACAATTTACCACCAACCCCGCTGTTTAAAATGTGTCTCAATGCCCAAGTATGGCCGATTCTCGTTTACTAGAGCAGTTAAATTTCGTGTAGAAAACATTCCAATATGTAACATAGCATTTGCCATATTTTACAATATTATTGGTTGGTTAATATACAATGTGAAAGTTCACATTCACCTCGGATAAATGTGAATATCATTGTGATTTGAAGTCCGATATGGAGATTACGGGGTTGGATAATCAAAAAATAAGACGAACTGATGGTAAAGGTGTAGAATGTAGATGAAGAATCTACATATTTCGAATATTGACTGATTTTCAAGTCGTACTCGCTCTTTTAGGTACCAGATTATTTATAGTTGGTCGAATTAATATATATAATGAAATCAACTTTAGTCACTAAAAAAATGAATTCTGTTTGCCCCAAATATGTAATCAAATCGCTAAAATATGTCAAATACATACTTTGGTCAAATTTATTTTTATAATATTACCTTATATCTGACTACTTTGACAGCATGCGGCAACTATTGTGCGTCTTTACAAGACAACCCTGTAAACAAAGTTATCGACGCACTTTGATCTTTTCATAACAAACTTCTGGGTTAAAGTTAAATCAGTGATTGCAAGCCTGATACTGTGTTGTATTCAGAGCTCACCAAAGTGTTAAGATCGCTGGATATAACACGAATTCGTAGATACAATGATAGAATTTTTTCTACTGCATTGAAGATTAATTTAAGGTTATGAAGCCACTGGTTTGCGACCTATCAGACCGAACTTATAAACATATCACTTACTGTGTAACAATTTAGACTATGACCAACCCCAAAAAATGAACAATATTACGGTTTATAATAAAATTCTGTTGTTATACTTTTTTACGTCCCTTCTTTACTCTCCGAACGGGGTTTTACGCACACGGCCACTGATATATATAACGACATGTAAAGAGTTTTTTTATTTGTAAGTACTGGAATCTTTCCGGTTCGCCATGGTCTTCCAAATTTATTAAATCCTTGGTAAGTTGAGCGCATGGGATTTGAACTCGAGATGTGTAACCTGCAATGTCAAAAGAGTCAAGCCTAACGCTCTACCTACTAGGCCATGGCCGCCGCCCAAAATGAGTGAATTCCTACTTTGCATTGAGTTTAGGCGAAATATTGTAAATCATTGTGTTAAGTCATGCATACGAGTAAATATAATTTTTTAAATTTGCGGAAAAAAGTGAGCACACATTTTAATGGTAAAGGGAGTTTTAGGGAACCGAAGCTAGTTATTGAGTGGCAAACCCTTTTAAAATATACATAAATAACTTATTTTCTAATACATGCTTATAACTATTACTATTTTATCATGCTTACATTCTTTCCTATTCAATATCATAATAGATATTTTAAATTGGAGAAAGTCTCGATTTTGCTACACAATTGATCAAATTTTATTTACAAAAGATCTATTGGGTGTGTATTTCGTTATAGAGTTGTGATAACGGATGATGATAAATAGTTCTCTATGTTCAACCTTGCTATCGAATAAGGGGAAATTATAACATATAATGAAACAAATTGATTTGTTTTTTACTCTTTTCTTCCGAGCAACGCCCCATTTTCCTCATCCCTGTAACAACAAACAATTTTCAAAACATCTTTCATGCGTTAAATAACAAAGGTATCGACGATGGATGCAGTGGTTTATGTGGTAAAACTATCACGAACAAATTTTCTATGAAAAATGTTTTTGAAAAGGTCGCTACAGAAGTATGTGTACTAATATGGAAGTAACTGATTTTGTTTTCCCGTTTCACATCAAGTTGTGTAGGAACTGAAACCTATTGGTGAGAGCATATTCACTTGGCTGACACAGGCAGTCCCAGAATTCGTAATAGAACTAATACAAGGAAAATCTGAATAAAATTAGGGCCCAACTCTAACCTGGTACACATACTACGGGAGTATCTATGAAATTATACTCTGTAAATATTACGACAGGAGAACGTTACTGGTTATAATTTTTTGCGTTTTTGAAGAGTGATCGGGACATCAAGTTGAAATACAAATATCAAAGGTTAGTGCCTAGATTAAATTAAAGTTAAAATTTTACAAAATCTTGCGCAGAACAAGCTACGGCTCTATAAGTCCACAATGCGCTTTCTTTCCTCTAATCCAGTGTTTTTCAACCGATGTTCTTCGGAACGTTGGTGTTCCGTGAACGACCTTCTGGTGTTTTACGCGACGAATTGCTGTACGCAAATTTTTTGATTGGCATATTTTATGATAACAAAGGAAATCAACGTATTTGGTTTTGAGAAAAGCGTGTTGGGTGATACTGATAATGAACGTTTACGCGAAGTGTAGGCTACGTAGTTTATTCTCGTTACAGCGGCTAAACAGCAGAATGTCACCAAGCTTTGGGAATGCGCAGTTGATGCCAAACTCTCATCTATACCAAATATTGTCTGCATATTCCCTTTTCCGTATTTCAAATACGTGTTCGGAAAATTCGCCGCAGGAGATTTCGTCATAAGAAATCTCGCTGCAGGAAATTTTGCCGCATGAAAAATCACCTCAAAAGCACCGCAAAACAAGTATTTTACTAGAACCTCTCAAATATATGTTGGGCGTACATTTATTTCAATTACGCAGTGTTGCAGGTCACACACACGATCCACGTTCGGTAAGTAATTCTTGACGCTTTCCTATTTGGATATTATGAATTCTGCAATAAATATCCAACGATTCAAACACGATATTCCTTGAAAAAATAGGTCTTCAAACAACGTTTAACGACACCAAAAATTTCTTTCTTTGCAATGAAGATAAGTAGGTTAATCCAACTTTAGCGTTTAACCTCTTATGTAAAAAAAAACAAAAGCAGACTGTCATATCTAAAACCAGTGATTGGTTACTTTATATCCTAGCAGATGATTAAACTTAAGCATGATTCGAATATGCGAATAAACTTTACAATGCTACTGGGAATATTTCAAACATCAATAACAGTGGATTTATGCAAATGAAGAACCCACAATGTTAGATGGATCAGATTCATGCAATCATGGCGAAAGAAACGCCCATCATCCGTTCGCTGTCGATGACCCACAGTCCAATAGTGCATTTAGCGTTGTTTCACGGGGTCAAAGAGGTCAAATTGCTACAGCAAATTCAAATGAAGACTCACGCCACCATCGGACGAGAGGATCAATACAAAATTCGAATGATTTTTCCTCGAATCGACAAAGTGAAATTTTGTCATATAGATCACGAAACTTAGACACGAATAATGCGTGTGATAGTAACACGCATAATAATGCAAACTGTGGTGCGAATAGTAGCGTGCATTTTGACAGTCAAACCGTAGGAGCGCGTTGCAGTCGAACTTTTTGCGGAAATAACAACAATAAAAACTCCGCACGTCTAAGAGCTGACGCTATTGGTCCAGGAGTAATATTAGAAGATTCTTCATTTCATTTGAATCGAACGCAAAACGAATCGAATCGAACCTATTTATCAAGTCACTCGAGTAAAATTTTGAGGCATCGTGGAAAACGGACTAACATGCCTCCTCAGGGTACAATACCCAACGAATCCGATGGACATTCATCGGGTACGAGGTGCAGTCAACATTCTTTACAAAACTGTAGAAATCCTTCTTGTAATGGTCAAGAAATATCACCAACGAGCAATGGGAACGTAATTTCACATCGGAATCGAACTCGTCTCACTAACGATCTGGAACTTTTATCCAGACCCAGTTGGTGCGATGCGAAATTTGCATACGAGCAAGTTGTTCAAGTAAGTCATACTTTATGTTTATTGGGAATATTTGTCTGTTTTGGGACTTCCCGAAGTATATGCATCAAGATGACACACAACCTGAACATAGTAGTTGTATCAGGTTAGGGTTCAGGTTGTGCGTCATCATGGTGCACATACTTCGGAGCGCCCTTTTTTGTTCAAATAACGCACACTGCCGTTTTATCGAGGATTCATGGGGGGATAAGTCATCTATAAAAGTTTAATTCGAAATTAAATATTTCATGTTAGTTAAGAGCGATGGTGATGCGCACATCAGTGTTACTGTTCACAAATGGGTTGAAACAGACATTATTGGGTGCTATTTTAGCGCGAGGTTTACCGCCATTTGTCACCTACGCAGTCTGGGAATGGAAATAGCTGATATCCATTTCAGGCATGGGAAATGCAGCGTAGTTAAGGTCGATCCAAAGCTACATAGCATGGTAGATCTCTCTCTAACTGAACTTCAAAGTCGATTTCGATTCACTATTTTTGTTATAATATTAATCAAGCACGCTTATGTGTCCGACGATGACAAAAAGCAAAAAGCAAAAACTGGAGTAATTTTAACTGAAAATCTAGTTAGCAACATCTTACAATTACGGACCGTTATTTTCGTTTTGTAGTAGTTATATATATATATATATATACTGACATTCTTACGCCGCCTATTTTTGTAATCTGATATGGACCAAAACTGCGAGGAATCTATCGCAGCTTGAAATAACATTCTGCAAACGGTTGCATGATACAGACTAAATAAAAATGTCAAAAAACATTCAAAAGGTTGGATTTGTAAAACCATATATGTCATTCAATCTATGTGACATCTCGTTCAACCGTGGCATGACCGATTTCTCATGGCACCTGACAAACAATGTCACGAGATCGTGTACGTCGTATAAAGTGTGGTGTAAAACACCTGCCATTGAACGATTTAGCAGCTTTGACAAATTTAATACACTGTTTAATTTTAGCTTCGCGTCATCACTTTTTGTGTTTTGTTTTCTTCTCTAGTTGGTATCGTTAATGTTGATGACGTAGTCTGCTTCACATTACAAAGCTCTGATTTCCTCCTATGCAAAAATCATCTTTCCGAGTAGATAAATAATTACATCACAAGAATCTGAACTATTCCCACGTTTTCGTAGATGTTAAAACAATGCTGGATTCCTAACTTGTATTCTATCATTTATAGACTCGCCTGTGTTTTTCACAATCGATTACGTGTATCTCCACAGCGATTCCTAAACTTTATTTTTGACTTAGTTTATGATCAATATGTGAATAACCGTTATTTTAGCTGTAAGTTGACTCGCTTCTTTACTTATATAGGTCTGAAACGATGGTTTTTAACCGGGGACCCGCGGCATCCCGGGGTTCCGCAAGTTAACGTTTAAATCCCAGAGTCTGTATATTTATATATATGTATGTTGTTTAAATATAATTAAATACACGGTCATAATGTAGTTATATATGTATATATGTAAGTGCGGGCCATATGTTGGTTAACAGTTAATAAATTAATTGATTAAGAATAGATGTCACTCTACGTTTTGCCCACCCTGTATATTGAGTGTTTTTCACTTCTGTAGGGTTGAAAATCACTGATCTAGAAGTTGTTGAAAGAAAGAATCGAATTAAATAGTGATATTTATATTCAACGTGTGGCCATCTTTACCATGGGCATAATGGTTTAGGTAGATTAACATCTCAGCTTGTTTTTCCATTTCAAAATTAATACTCACAACACCACAACCAAAATCCAACCAGACATACCACCTTGAACTTTCAGTTATAATGTATCACTAACTCAGAGTTCAGTAAAGCGTCCACAAACAGAATTACGTATGTATTTACAGTGTACCACAGCCATGTTATCAATCCTTCTCTTTTTAAACACCTTGGTTCCATGGAACATGTTCATATTACGGCTTTACTATTGTTCAGCGTTCATTGCGGGCAACATCTGAGACAAAGTGTCTGTCTGATAGACGCAAATGTAAACGTTGAAATACCCAAGCATTCTTCGTCTGAGGCTAAGGTGAAATCATGTGAACATAAATACTCGTATGGTCTTTCAGTCTAACATCCATTGTTTAACGCATTAAAAAAATATCAGTTATTCTACATGGCGTGTGATAGTAATTCTAATAATTTCATTTCAAAACGAGTAAATATTATTGAAAATTGGCAAGGGTATACAAGACTTTGCATTCGATATGAGGTACAACATTTTTGCCCTAAAATCGGCCTAAAAAATCTTGTCTATATGGCATACCAAGTTACCAACCCAATAAGCTTTCTGTTGAAGGAGGCAAATTAGATGGCGCTTGGAACGTATATCAATTCTTGCTTAGAATTAAACTTTAATCTACGTTATGAAAATCGCAAGTCGGGTTTTTGATTCCACTTTGGCCAGCTTTATTTTGAACTGTACAAACAGATATTATTGGGTTTGTTTGTCACTTGCCGTTCTAGACCAATGAGTGTTCTAATTTGTAGATTAATCAGAGTAGGCGCCTGGGTATTCGTAGTTTTGTGTACCGGTCGCTAATATGGATTAACAGAATGTGATATATACGTGATGCACGCGTGTCAGATGCACGTCCACTTCATGTTTTATTGCATGATTATATGTTGTCATCCATTAAATCAGCACGCATTTTAACATTTTTGGATTTCTAAATTTTTATCGATTAGGTCGATAATTGCAAAAAAAGATGAGTTTTCTTTAAACATAAATGTAATTGCGCAGTCAACGCGAGAGAATATGTGATTGCAAGAAAATGTGTCTTACCGTTTATTAATTTTACTTTAATATAACAGTGATGGTTTTATTCATTTTTCAACGTATTTTATGCAAAGTTAATAAAATTATATATAATTATTGATCCGTAATAAATACATTCTATTTTTAAAGATGGCTTGATCACGTTTTAATTCACACTGGGAAAATTTTAACCAACGTGCTTCGATTTTCAGGAATTTTTAGTTTTCAAAGCACAAGCTTGGCACTGGTTACCATGGTGGTACTCCCGTAGTATGTGTACCAGTACCAGGTTGGGGTTAGGGCATAATTTTATTCCGATTTTCCTTATTTTAGTTCTATTAGTTCAGGGACTGTCTATGTTAGGCAAGTGAGTATATACCCTGCCCGTAGGCTTCAGTCCCCTCACATAACTTGATGTAATATATGTGAACAAAATTAGTTGCCTCCATATTGGTACACATACTTCACACATGGCGCCGTTGTTCCTATTACTAAAGAAATTTCTACTTGCTGTCTTAACTTATTCTATATTTAAAGATGGGTTTACACTAGGAAAACGTTTGTTTGCCTGTTTCGATTTCCATGAATTTTTTGTTTTCGCATCACAAGCTTGACACTGGCTGCCATGATGGTTATTCCCAATATTTGAATCCTCCTACAAACGAATTATGAACTTGATGTCAAAACGTCCTAATTCTATTTTTAAGATGGTCTTACACTGGTTTGTGTACCTATTTCGTTTTTTTTTATGAAATTTTCAGTATACACAGCCCAAGCTTAGCGCGTGGTTAATATGATGGTTATTTCTATTAGTTAAATCCTCCTTCTAACGAAATGTATCTGCGGTCTAAATGTCCCTAATGAGTTAGGTGTATTTCAGTAATGTATGTGGTTGAATGAAAATTGAACCCGGGACAGCACATTTCTAACTAATTCTCAAGTTCGAAGCTTTTAATGGATTTTTCGAACAATATTGAGTTTTGAAGTAAGAAATATGCGCCGTGAAGCTAAAATATTTCAAATATCTGGCAATTATTTTGAAAACCAATATTTAGGTAAACTTCTCAGTTTGGAAACCGAATATTATTTGCACGTTCATTGGAAAAACGGAATTTGAGAGTAAAATACGGCACGGCCGCTATTTCTAAATTTATCCAAGTCGTTTGGCTCCAATATCAACTAAAGAGACGTTTTATACCAAATAGATAAAATAAAAAACTGAGCTAGAACAGGATGTACATTGCGTACAAGTTGCAATTCTGAGTAGGCCGACCAAGAACTTTGTACATTTTCATTTAATATTCGTAGCCTTGCTAACTCATTTCAAATTATTTGATATATTTTGTCAAGTGTCGAGGAGACGACCATCCCTTTGACGGTAATATGATACTGAGTAAACCGGTACGAGTTTCACAGTCAAATATTATTCCACGTCGGGTAAACGCATCTGAGCTGTGTGGGATTTATTATAGCAAAATATAAAACATCAAAATTATTAAAAATGATGCATTAATAGTCTACGGGTGAAAGCCGTAGCCCGAATAACTTCGAATTGATTTTGGTTTTATAAATTGGCGATTTATGACTCTTATGAGCAGAAAATTTTAAAACTGTAGATACAAATTTTCAAACAAAAGTCAATTAATTATTTACATAAATTCCATCGCGTTTGATATATATTGGGATCGAGACAGAATCCTTGATTTTTTAAACATGCTGCCATTTTTGTGTGACGGCTTTTGTGTGGAAGCTTGTATTTGCGATATCATCTACAAAATCGCCGTCAAATACTACACACCATACCACCTAGCATCAATTTTACGATATAACCGCACCGCCCAAGGCTAGGTCGATTAAAGACCACCCACGTACAAGGATTTAACATGACGCAACATTTTCTTTCGCGTAAATTACTTATCTTTTACAACTTTATATTTTCCTATTTACGGTTCAACCATGTCCATACATCAGCTTATTGAAAATGTTACACAAGCGATAATTTAAAATAAAACAATTGTTATTAAAAATAGACCAAAGCAGGATCTTGTTGTAAGAGAAATGTAAATAAAAAACGGGTTTACGGTCTGGTTTTTATGACGTCATAACGCTTCAATTAAAGGTGTACGTCCAGTGAAGTGTTACTAAAATACTGGTCATGTGGAAATTTTAGATTGCTCTGAAATTTCATTTCCAGTTGTGAACTCCGTATTTTTTTTAATATCATTTGTTTTTAATTTCGTTTTGCCACGTTTTTTTTGTACTCACTACTCAGGACTGACATAAAATGAGCCGCTGAAGTCACTTTTATTCCAAGTTTATTTTTAGAGAGCTACCGCGTTTGCCCGAAAATAAGACCTAGCCTGAATTTTAAAAATGATTTTAATATAAGCCCCCTCTCTTGAGACCTAGTCAATAAGCGTAGGTGCAAAAATTCGGTTAAACTTCTTCATGTCCGTTGTCACAAGGATGCTTGAACGAGTATTATAAAGATAAATAAAAAAGAAAAGCATAATATATTTAATCTTTAGTGGTTAAATCACTATCTTACTTGCTATTGCGCTTGCTATTTCGTGAAAAGAGATTATGCCATTTCAAGTTAATATTTAGAGTTGAAAAAACAGCACTCATTTTAATTTTTTTTTTCTTCCAATTTTCAAAGTTACACACTGAATTATTTAGCCATTCCGAATCATATCAATACTGTTTATGTTCAACTGATCACCAGAGTAACAGCAATGTGGCGCATCGTGCTAAGCGTTAGGAATACGCTCGCCGCCGCACCTCCAAGTCCATGCTTCCGAAAACAGATAACTGGCTAACTAATCCCATACCCGACATGGACTGGTAACCGGACGAGAGGGTGTAGTTCGCCATATGATTAAGCCGTCGTTTTGGCTTTCCTCTCCCCCGGGATAAATATGTATATCCTATCCTAACTTTTCACGTTACTAAGATGAAAAATTATGAACTGTGTCTCATTTTTGAATATTTATTCACAGGGAAAAGCACACGGCAACAAGCATGCATTATGGTTTCGTTCCAAAGTTCATCAACTGTTATTTCGTCTCGGTTGTTTTGTTCAACGTCGTGCATGGTTTGTGTTGATCCCATGTCTCATGGTTCTTGCTGCCTGTGCTATTGGACTCAAGTATGGAACTCTGGAAACTGAAGTTGAGAATCTTTGGGTTGAATGTGAGTATGCTGTTAGAAGTTTAGAACATTTTTACATCTGCAAAGTGTAACCCAGGGGTGTGCAACCTTAACAACAGGAAGGTCAGCTACAAATAACGTAGCGAAATCGGGCTTCCTGGTAGTTGCAGCATCAAAAGTTTCGATCATTGATCTTCTGAAATGAATTGTCCGCTTCGCACAAGCTGGCATTGTGACATCATGGTAAACTGGACTCGGGTATAGACTTTACAACGTAAAGGGATTGGAATTACTCGCACGAGCCAGTTTAAACTAAATTGGAAACTGGCACAAATTTTCCGCGTGGGGCGCACACCTCTGTTGTAGACCATTTGTATAGATCGGGAAAACTTTGTTCTAATAAATCACACATCCTTTTTTTCTTCATGATATGGAAATAATCAATAGTATATATGAGACATATATTTTTTTATTTAAATTACAGATTCAGATTTCATTGCATTTCGTGATATCATTAGAGTCTGAAATACGGTAATCAGTTAAAAAATTGTGTAGGTAACAACTAACAATACGTAACGATAGTTTGGTAAGGTAATCGGCCACTGCTGATAGGATTTGCAAAAAAGCCAACCATACACATTATTCAGTACCTTAGTTTGAAACTTGAACATCTAGTGCGGCTTACAGTGTGGTGGAATAAATTACCATATATGAAGGAATAATTTTATTTTCGACGAAAAAATTATTTGTAAATCTTTTTTTCCTAAAAATGTCTTTGAAGCCACAGAAGTACCAATACCAAAAGTTACTAAGAAATTACTAAATATTTATCAATTTATCAATGCCTATGGCGACAAGGACGTCAATGAATACCGATTGAGCCAAGAATTGATATTTTCCTAATTTTCTTTTTATTTCTGTTTGTGCTAGTGAAAGATTTTGTAGAATCTTGATAAAATATGTGATACCGCATCTCGTCCCAATTATAAAACACGTGAAAGCTAATCACAATAAAATTCAATTCCGTAAATAACTTTGAAGTCAAATTTTCTAAATATTTCAACTCTTTCTTATTAGGTTAAAAAGTAAAATTTTTTCAAATATATAAAAACTTTCTGTTAATTAAATATGTTTTGAAATTTGCGAAATTCCTCGCAAGCTGGTGGCATATGTTATAATTGGGTTTCACGCACTTTTGACAATTTGTTTTGAAAGTTTGTGTTTAGCATTTGAAAACTTTGAATATTAACGAAGTTGTTTTGATTAATTTTGATTTCATTGACTTGCAGGAACCTAAAGTAAACCGGCATAAAATCAAGTATGTTTATCGCTCGTATATCATTAGACAAGCCTTATTAAAGATATCTAGCTGTTAAAATTTTTCATGTTTTCTTGACCTCATCTGAGTAGCTCACAGTGGAGGTGGGCGAAGTTCCTATGCAGCGGCCACGTTTAAAAAACAGATTTTCCAAAGTGATACATTTAGAAATTGACTGTGACGTGACAAATACTATTCCGATTTGCTGGAATATTGTCGAATTTGATGACATTGTTGAATCGGGGATGAAAAACGCATAATTCATGGTTTACTTTAAATATTTCAGATAACGTTTAAAATCTACAGTTCGTATGTAGTTTTAATGCATTTTCACAACTTATCTAAATGCCGGCGACCGTACAAAATGCTTTGGAGGGTCGCATGCCGGCCGTAATTTGCCCATCTCTGGCATAGGGTTGACATGGCATAATGTATGGTTATGTTTGATTCTTCAGCAAAATGCGTGCGATAAGATAAGGCTTGAGTAGTTGTTGTAGTTTCATGTAGAGGGATTCCGTAGAATGATAAGAAGAATTATACGAATTTATATTTTTTTGAGAGACTTTAGTTTCGGAATAGTTATATGTTCGAATCATCTCTCCCTTCCCTGACAAGATCTCTTCCAGGTAGTGATTCTACTTACCATCTTGTTTCTAGGATTGTTTTACGAGGGTACACGAGCATGGTCAACCACTGTTTAAGATTCTTTGCATATTTTGTTTTGCAAAACACGGAATCATTCTAAATATATATGTGTAACCTTGCTTGGAACCTATATAGAGATTCAATAGTTTATTAATCTGACATGTGTATTCTATATATAACTTCTTAGTTGAGCTTTTATCAGTCGACATTGGAATGACCGACACTATAGTGTTAGACATACTGTCTACTTTTTGGGTGAGACGCATAACTTGTGTTTTCAAGCTGGAACAATTAACAATCAGAATTGCAACATGTTATTCTATATTTTTTGTAAAAAAAGGAAACTGATTTTATATCCAAACATTAAAAAATGATCGAAATTCGAATTTTGAATCATCGTGCCGCCCCATTTTCAGCAGAGATTCTGATCAATTTTTTCTGAAAATTCGGAGTCAAGTTCAATTACCCAATTAGAAAAATACACCTCATTTTTTGGATTGTTCGGAATAAACAGGATGGTTAAATTTCGTACAAAAATTGTAAAATGATGAGTAGTCATATCCCGTTAAAACTCGAATACATGTGATACATTATGTGAGATTTTCCCAAAAATTTTCCCGAATTTGCATCTTTATTTGCCTAATTGTATTTATTCCTTCTTGAAATGCTCGTCAAATTAAAATAGTTTTGATATTTGATTTAGAGGAAAATTTTTTGTATAACCACCCTTCAGGTACCTTTTGCACGTATTTACTAACAGTATATTTTACCAGTATTCCGTGCCTAGGAGCAATGACGCACACCGCAGTTCATGTGCGGTTCAGTTGAATGCATGGGTGGCTGATCCCCTATAAGTGGCTGCTTTGTTTGTTTAATATATTTCCGTGTGAAGCGTCTTTGATATCGCTAGAAGTCTACTTGAGAAGTTTTAAGTGTATTGCAGGGCTTGGCGTCGGATTTGCACAATGTTTCGACAGGACTACACTAACAATTTTCTTAGATTTTGGTCTGATTGTGGGAAAGTTCTGGTATTTTATATTTGAAAAATTAGCCCAGACTTGAGGGAGCACAATGTTGACGACGGGGAAAAAGCACTGTTTTAGTAGTTAACCCAGGCCGAAATTTCTTGTCTAGCCCAGTATTTAGACACATTCGTATCCAATATATGGGATATATGCAGTGGTGGGATTCCACCGGTTCGCACCGGTTCTATAGAACCGTCTAACGGAATTTTATGAGATCAGCAAACCGGTTGGCATCACTGGTTACTGTCAATGGTATGTTTGTAACAGAACCGTCTGAAAAATATGACTTTTGTGAAGGAACCGGCTGACAAAAAAATTGAATCCCACGACTGGATAAATTGTTACAACATGCTTTCTTGAATAGTCTCTCGGATAACGACAAACTTACTGACTTGAACCAAATCCTAATTTTTAATTTTTGGTTCTAATTTTTGGTATAATTCTATACAACGTTTTATCGGCGTAAATCGTTATTTAAATTTAATAATATTTTAAAAACAAAATTCAGTAATAACTTAAATAGTTGCTTGAAATAAGAATGGTTCATTACATTTTCCGCGCCAAAAATAAAATTCTTGATCACTAGAACATTGATATTTTTTCCCTTGAGAAGTTTTTTAGGGTCATTTCTCTGCTTATTTAGCTATTCACATGAGAACGGGCTTACTGGGAGATCGCCAGCATATAGGAGCGATTTCATTTTTTTTCACGCACATTATGGATCATATGATTACGAGTATCTTACGTTTAATGCAACTATATCTCTTCTTGCAAAACGTCACATACCTGAGCGTCTTAGAGAATTTCGCGAACGGGTTTGTCAAAAACTGAGAAGAAAAAAAAGCTTTTAGTTATTTTTAAAATGTCTTACTGCTGCTTAAAGAATCAGTCAATTTATTTTTAATCCGAAACGATTTAGGCCACCGAGTGCGCAAAAAACAAGGTATAAGCTGGGATGGATTTTTTTCGAATGTAAATAAAGGATAAACACATCACGGAAGCTAAAGTGCGGGTGGTCCTTTGCAACAAACAACAAAAAATTTATGACATGTAGTTATGCGACTTATATTACAAGAATGTTAAAACATACCAGAATATTTTTATTCGAATTTCTCATTTTATTTATCAATAATTTCAGGAGTGAGTTACTTCTTATCAACGAACTTGCGGTATACTAAATGTACTTCTTTTCACTAGAATATTTTCAGTAATAAAATCAGAATCCTTCAAATTATTCGTAATATTTCAATTCGAAAAAATATTTTTATTTATGTATATGAATTAGTTGCGCCTGTATCTCAATCGAAAGGAAATAAAAACATCCTTACATTTTCACATTAGAATAAATTTTACACTATATTGTTAAGATTCACGCCAGATTAAATTGCCAGTCTTGCCTAGACTGGAACAAGCTGTGAGCCAAAATGTAAGCATAATAGGGAAAATTTACTCAACTTGATGGTCATGTAAAATTATTCTTATCAAATGTACAAATTGAATAACTTTTTGGAGAATGTGTCTTTGATACGCAGGCATCAATAAAGCTGTTTTAATTTAAACTCGCTACCGAAGCCGGTCTGACCCCGGATAGAGTGACAACGTTGTTACTCGATATTCAGAAAATATTAAGCATTTGCCCTTTCAACCCTGATTAAGATTAAAAAATTGGATTATCAGAAAATTCAGATGTTAAAATTCGTGTCTCAAAGCACTAAAATTCCGTATGATTTCATAATTGTTTACGTAAAACATGAGAAAGTTGTCAACACGGCGCCACGTTGAATAGATCGTAGGAATCTGACATAGGAATTTGTTTCTTATTTTCTTCAGCTGTTGTGGCTAAAATTTATTTTTGGCTCATTGTGGAATTGTGTTGCATTTTTGAATGGCGTTGAGAGTCGTACCAATGGTGCGACAATCCACATGCAAATAGCTACACTGTTAGGTATTTTGAATACACTTCTCAGAACTGGGTTGAATTTGATTCGATTATGAATCGTCCAAGCAGATTTTTTACCCATTCACAGTTTGAAACTATATGCGGAATTGTTACT